TTCATACATTATTGCCCCCAGTGACCACCTAAAGAAGTCCACAGAAAAGGCTGCATTAGCCCACTTTTGTAGTTGTAGCAAGAAAATGATGGACGGTGTGCAGCTAGAAAAGTAGAACAGGTATGCATCGTGCATGAAGGTGAAGCAAAAAATTGGAGAATAAGTAATAGATCCAATTGCAACCACGAGAAACAAAGATAACTGAAAATAAATATAACTAACCAGTCACATTCCATGCCATATCCTTTCTTCAGTAACACTTCAGGAGCGATGTAGTCAGGTGTTCCCACAGTTGAAAATGCCTTCACAGTAAAAAAAAAGATGGCAAAAATTGCTGGAAAACTTTGCAGCTGAATCAAGTTTTTCATGCCATAATCTGATTGTATTACTACTTATGCAACTACTCATTTGGAAACTTACCGAAAACTTTTCTAATTGAATCAACAGTGTGGGTGTTTGTAAATCCTTTGCAAGGGAAAGAAACTTTAAAAATGCTTATAGTAATGATATGTGACATTAGTTGCAATTCACAAAGTCCAATATGTAATATTGGGGCATCAATTAGAGCCAAAACTGAAACTTGGCATGGGAAACTTGAGAATGGTTAATATCATACCTTAAAGAAACATCTCAAGGAGTTAATGTGCTTTAATTAATTAATACACTGGAATGTATTTTACGAATGCTGCATTAAACAGTACAACTGTGAAGTCAATTGCATACATACCAACATTCTTCTGTTCATTTGCCAACACTGAAGCTGCTCACGAGGGCTTCTCCAATTGCTTTTATTGTCAGCATCAACATCCATAGGTTCTGTTATATTTTCATCATCCATCGGCTTATTCTCATGGATTGCTGGTAAATTTGTGCAATCAATAGGCTTACAAAGGCCAAAATCTGATAACTTCATGTGACCATTTTTGTCCAGAAGAAGATTGTCGGGTTTTATGTCTCTGAAAAGAAAATGAATGTAAAGAAATAAGATGGGTAAACCATAACTTGAACAACTATGAACCGAAATTACCACATCACCTTGCTCCAAAATGAATAAACTAGACAACATAGTAGGGCAAGCTTAAATTTTAACCTGTGAATGTAATTATGTTTGTGAATAGACTCGATGGCCAAGATACTTTGAGCAATGTAAAATTTAGCCACATTTTCAGTTAAGGTATCCTTCCTCATCAGCAGAGTCATCATATCGCCACCAGGAAGATATTCCATGATCAAATATAAGTATTCAGCATCCTGAAATGAATAATAAAGTTTTACTATGCAGTGGCTTGCAACTTCTGCCAGCAAGTTCCTCTCCGCTCTAACATGTTCCACCTAAGGAGCCAAAGACATAAGTTAGATTAGCAGTACAACAAATATTTCCGATTCCAATTAAAAATTAAATGCTACAAGGAACTAAATAATAGCTTCATGCGTCCTTAGTTACCTGCCCTTTCATAAGCATTTCCGATTTCTTTAACTTCTTCATTGCATAAATATTTCCAGATTTCTTCTCCCGGCACAGTCGAACCTGCAGAAAAAAGTATGATAAATAAAAAACTCCAAACAGCCAATGCATGAAAGGCAATATAAATCAGAAGCAGAAAACAACAATTTCAAATAAAAGAAACTATGAAGGCACGACTTTATAACAAGAATTGGCATTCTAAGTTTTTACCTCACCATAGGCTCCCCTTCCAATAATAGTCAAATGATCAAAATCATCGACACAAATCTTGTGCCTTTTAAGTCTCATAAACTCCGTCTCTTTTCTCTCTAAATCCTTTATCAGATTGATCTGTTCCTCCTTGGGCACATCTGAAGCAGCTAACTTTCTCTCCAGGACCCATCGTCTGCAATGATGAACTTAAGTTATGTTATTAACTTGAAACCTGACCTATCAATCCCAAGCACAGAAATGCTGACAACATTTGGATACATCAAGTTCAAGAAAAACAAGTCATTAGTAGGTTTGATATGGATATGCTAAAGATAACAATTCAATTACGACAGCATATATTTAATCTGCATGCTGCACAAAAAATGCATATCCTAAACAACTTCAACAAATAAAATGTGCAGATTACTTCGAAGAGGGGGGGAAAATGCATATCCTAAACATCAATGAAGCATGAAATACACAGATATTTATATTAGTCCCAGGTTTTCCAAAAAAAATGCATATTTGTTGTTGGGACTTCCACAGAGAAAAGTAAAAAAAGATAAAGAAAGCCATGCACTTGCTAGTGTGTCAACTTTGCATAGATAATTAAATCATGCACCAGATCATGTGTAATTAACCCTAAAGTTTGTGTGAGGGGGGGAACACACACACAAAAAAAATCATTATGTGGATACTTTGATATCCCAATTTCCGAAAAATCCACCCCTGATTTGGGGAAAGCAGTTTCAATTGCTCCAATTAAATGTTTCATTTCCTTGCAAAGAAACATGATTTAACACTTATACACTCCCTACTAAGCCACATACAAGACAAGCACCAAGCTCATCAGGTCAAAATTATAAAAAAAGACTTTTTTAAGAAGTTATTGAAGTCAGGTTCAGCACTTCAGTTGACTGAGAAGTTCATCGATTTCCACCCAAAAAAATTAACTAATCTATCATTCATAGCTCCTATCTTTAATTTTTAGGCTTTCTAAGCAACCAAAAAAAGATCACAGATACTGCAAAAATTAAATAAATTTCTAAAGAAGCAGCAAAAACGATACCTTTCTTTGCGTTCTTGAATATTCTTCATCTGAGCTCTATAATGATTCTCGATGAACTGTTTCGCCGCCGCCACCTTCTCCAGCGTCAAGCTTGACCCTAACGCTTCCTCTCCTCCGCTCCCTTCTTCATCTATGTTCTCCATTTCCCCCCTCTCTCTAAAACCCACGTGGCTTCCTTTTGATGCTTCTTTGAAGGTGGGTTCAGGGTGGTAACACTGGGGAGTGGGGAGTGGGGAGTGTGGGTTTTTGTAAGGTAAAGTATATAAATAGTTTTTAATTTTTTAGAGTATTTGTATTTTGGTCACTTAACTTTTAAAATTTGTAATTCAGTTATTAAATTTTTAGTTAGTTTTTAGTAAGTCCATGTTATTATCTTCTGTTAGTTAGGGTTGATGTGGCATATTACCTCCGTTAACCTTCTTCTTCTTTCTCTTCATCTTCCTCTTCCTCTTCTTCTTCTCCTTCTTCTTCTTCTTCTTCTTCTTCTTCTTCTAAGGAGCTTCACCCTCGTTCTTTCCCCTTATATTCAATCGTCTTATGTAGAGTTTCGCCCAGCAATCTGGGGGTTCTACCTGTTTCACCCGTCTTCGTATTCGAAGAATCGGTAACCTCTCGATGCCTTTATCATGCGACGATAAGGAACTACCGGAGCTTCTTGTTTCACCACTACTTCTATCTCTTGCAATGAATGTGATCGTAGAAAACATTAAAACCAGTTGTTCCTTACCAAATGAGTAATCAGTATTTCGATCACAGATTCTCGACACCAGTGTTCGACATGCCATGGTTGCTCGGTACGAGACACAGGAGAAGTCAAATTCTTCAACATCTTATTACCAAGCATCAATTAAAATAGTCCAAAAGACATTCAATGTATTAAAAAACATGCAATCTTTGTTGAAGTTGGTTCTTCTTGTTCATCTTCGCTTCTTGTTGAAGCTTGGATTTCACTCGAGATGAATCTTTGTAATAGATATATAGGGTAATTCTTTGTTTCCATAGAAATATTCATCATCTCTTTTATGGGGTAATTCTCTGTTCAAGCTAGGGTACTATGCACAAAGATGATCCAAGAAATGTACTTGCTTGGTTTGACTTTTTTTCGGTTGTCGATGTTGAAAGGTCATTTTCCATTCCTTCCCAAGAAGAAGACGAAGAGGAAAAAGAAGAAGGTTAACTGAGGTATAACATGCCACATAAGCCCTAATTAATAGAAGGTAACAACATGAATTTTACTGATCAATTTGTCACTCAGCCATCAACAGTTGTTATTGGAGTAACAAAATGTTGATGTGACATGTTAGTTATGACTTTTTAGGTTTATAAATCAATAACATTAGTGATTAATTTGTTATAAATCAATAATGTTAGTGACTAGTTTGTTATAAATCGATAACATTAGTGACCAATTTGTTACTTTTGAAATTTTAGTGAGAAAATAAAAAATTTATTCAAATATTAGTGACCATTTGTGTAATTTATCCAAAAATTTAACTTGGAACAACTATGTTAAACTGATTAATAAAATGAAGTCATTTTAAATATGTTATTTTACTTTTACCTTTCATTTTGAACAATTTTATTAAATCAATTTTACTTTTTTTGGAATTGTCCGTCTAACTCAGTTGGTAGAACGCAAGACTCTTAACCTTGTGGTCGTAAGATCGAGTCTCTCTGAGGGCAATTCATAACGGAGGTCTTCCACTGAAGCTGCTCTCAATCTGGCGTTGGAGGCAGCCTACTACCTTAACTCCCCATTACATATGAGAATAGAGTCAGCTAATTTAATTTTTTTTGTTTGTGTTATGTTTATATTCTAAACTGGTGGACTTTATCTAATAATATGTGTACATTAAAACCTAATATTTCATTTCAAAAAGGACCAAATCTACAATTTTAAACATCACATCAAATAAATTTTACAATAAACCCTTTTATAGTAAGGTAGGATATATTAGATGTCACTTAACTAGTTTATTAAAGAATTATAAAAATTAATTAGTATAAAATAATCATTAAATTTTATCATAATATTATAAAATTAATTATTAAATATATAAAATTATTATTAAATGATTATTAAATTTATCAAAATGTTATAAAATATCAATAAACTCATAAACTATTATAATTATTATAACATCGATGTGATCATATTATTATAATTTAATAAATTTAATAATCGATATATAACTTTGGAAAATTTAGTGACAAAAGTAATATTTCATAGTTTAATTACAAAATAGTTTAATTACCTCTAAAATACTTTAAACTTTATGATAAATATTGTCCTAGATACTAATAGGATGCATGGTGTAAAAGATTATGTGCAATGGCATCTCTAGCTTCCATGGAACTTACCGATCTCAATCAGTTTCACCCGCCATTTCTTCTTCTTCTTCATCGTCAACTAACTCAAATCCCATTGATCAGACTCAAACCCGTCACCTCTCAGTTCACAAATATTATGCAAAACACAACAAGCTCCAACAACATTCAAATCCTGCAACTCGAACTCACTATTTGTCTGCAAACAACACCATCTCCCTTTCAATCTCATGAACGCTTCTTTAGCAACTCTCTGAATCTCACCAATCTTCTCGTTAAACCCATGTTGTGCCCATGTCAATCGTCTTCGATTGTAAGGAACCAAAACCCAGTCCATTAATGGATACCCTTTGCTCCCCACGACCCAAACTCCATTGAAGAACTCGCCGTTTGCTCTTCGATAAAGGGATGATTTTTGCAGCACTTGATCGTCGTTCATTGATCCCAACCAGCCTATGCAAACGTCGGTGAAAATCCCATTATGATCGACCACGCCTTGTACTGTCACAGTGTACGAGGTTTTCCCGTCACGTTCCGTTTGTTTTTTGTTGAAATACGCTATCATCGACGCCGCCGGTGGTGGTGGTGCCGGGATATGGGTCGTGGACATTGATCCGACGACGTTTGGTATCCATGAGATGGCTTCGAACTCTTGTTTTATTTCTCGTAACGAATTCTTGTCCGGCCATCGCAGATACTTCGGCATCAAAACGGTGCGTATCGCCGAACAGACGACGAGGACCGATTCACGGCATGTCGGGATGGGTAAACCGAACCGTTTCGAGACGAGTCGAAACGGTTCTCCCGTCGCTAAAAGCCGTATGCAAACCGCCACACTTTGCCTAAACGTGGCGATTTCATCGCCTTCAGAGTTGAGCTCGGAGCAAATGAGCTCGAACGTTGACTTGCTCATCCTAAACGCCTTCTTGAATTCATCTTCCGGGTAATCGGGTCCGTCACACTCATTCCACCATAATTTCTGACTAGACCCGGATTCCTTTTCAGTTCGAATAACAGATGTCGCCGTCGGACTGGAAATCTTCCTCCTTACACGGTCGTCGGAGATAAATTCCGTCGTGGTTCGAGCCTTTCTCTTGTGTGTTGAATCAAAAATGGTTTTTTCATCGTTGGAACAACCATCTTCTTCGACGGGCATTCTCTGGTTTCGTCACCGGTTATGAAGAACGTCGCTACTATTCATATTTTCCAGGGAAAAAGAGTGGAGTGTAGGAGAAAGAAGAAATGGGCGTTTGAGCTGCAGACTGTTGCATTTAAGGAAGAAGAAGTGATTAGACCGCCGAAATTAGATAAGAAAATGTTTGGTAAACGATTGTTGCTATTGAGAGCTTAAAAAGTGGTTTAAAGGTGTGAACGTAAAGAGATTGAAGTTGACACTTGATAAGACATCGTTGTCTCCTAGTGGATGCGTACTGAAAACACACAATTTCGTCCTTGCTTATAACTATATATATTTATACAATATATGCGTGTTACATATTTTAGTGGGAACTACGTACATCATATATTATATATACATATGATATTATTATTATATTAATACAGTTTCTTTACTTTGTAATGCCAGATCCATTACACACAAATAAAAGTGGCCCAACAAAGCAGCCCACGCAGAAGATTAAGGTTTCTGGAAACCCTGGATCTCCCCCACTCTTATCCCAGATCGCTTAGAGCTCCAAACCGGGTCCAAGTACCCAACCTGAACTGGTTCAGCTAGGGTTTGATAACCCTAGCATTCTTTTCTCATCCAGCGCCGCCAGTGAAGAGTCCCAGCCGCTCGGTCGCCGCTTTTCACGCTCCACGCAATCGATTATCTCGGCAACAAACAAACGTGTGGAACACCAACTCACCAGCAACCCACAAAATCAGCAAATAAGCATTATAATCGGAACATGACTCTTCAAATCTAAGGCTATAAATCACATGTAACTAGAACACTCACACAGACAAGGATTACTCACGAAAGATCAGAGAAAAATACGAGCAAGTTAATAGTGATTTCAAAGCATTTGTAACAAGCTTGAAGATAAATAAAGGTAGTTTTGTTTTACCTTCGATTGTGGTCATTTTCCTGCTTCGCATGTGTTGATATTGCTCACCGTTCTTTTGATTCAAACGCTTTGCCTAGAACAAAAGGGGGGAGTTCTTCGAACTTTCGTTCTTAGATTTACGCTCTCCTGAGGCTAATTTTTTAAAAACCAATATGTTTTTGGAGAAGTGGGGGTCGAGATCTACTAAAAAAATCAAAACTTTTTTAGATTGCCGCCGATGACCGGGCAGCCGGCGCCAATCCAAGGCGGTCGGTGAGGCGGTGCCATCGTATTTCTGGGTTTGGGGGCGACTGTGTTCTTCATTATGAAGAACACAGATGAACAAAAACAGAGAAAATGAGGGATGGGTTTTGATCCATTTAGATGAAGAGAAGGGAAACGAAAGCTTTTAAAAAAAAATTTGAGTTAAATAATACCCATACACGTCAGAATCCGTGTGTTTTGCCTTAAATTAGGGTAAACCCGCTTTTGGTCTCTCCTATTTTAAAAGTCTGTTATTTTGATCCCCAAATCCGGTTCTCAAACTCCAATGCTATTCTAATTCGACCACTCAATTCGTTTTACTTTCAATTTGGTCCCTGTTAAATTCAATTCGTATTTTTTAAATCTTTTTTTATATATTACGTTTTATTATATATATATATATATTATTATTGTTATTATTATTATTATATGTATATATATGTATATATTTACTTATTTCTTTTTATACTCTTTTACCATTTTTATTTTTATTATTATTATTCTTTATATTATCCTTATTATTTCTATTATTACTATTTTTTTTATTTATTCATGTAATTATATATATATACGTATTTTCTATATATTTCATCTATATACTTAGTGTTAATACATATATATTATTTTAATTAACTTTTTGGTCATTTCTTTATCTAGCTACTACATCTTATAATTTTATACGTTATATATGTATTTTTTTATTATTATTTACCAACCTTACTCATTTTATCTTATAATTATATTTCTATTAACATTTTATTTTTTTTGTATTTATGTATGTATATACATATATATATATATATATATATATATTCATTTTACCTATTATTGATATTTTCCTTTTTAATACTTTAATATATATATTTCTCGTTTCATTCATTAATTATTTATTCCATTTTTATTTTTATTCCCCTTTTACTTTTTACTATTATTATTATTTGTTTATTTATGCTATTATATTATATTCTTTATTATATACGTATATGTATTACTCATTTTTTACTTTTTATTTTATATATTTTATGTATTTTTATATTCTACATATATATATATATATATATATATATATATTTTATTTATTATTTTCATCATTATTATTTCATTACTATTTTACTATTATAACTGTTATTTTTATTATATGTATATTACACATATTTTTTCTTTTTTTTTCATTTTCATTGTTTTATATTTTATTTTATTATGTGTATTTTTTTATATTTTATTATATTTTCTTCTTTTTCTTTATTTGTATTTTCGTTTTTTTTCTTTTGCATATCTTATTTTGTATTTAGTCATATTTCATTCTTTCCTTTTTTTTTGTATACATTATTTTTTTTATATTATTTCGTTTGTTCGCCTTATTTTTCTATTTTATTACTTTCATTACCTAACCCTTTCCTCGGCTTTTTGAGAGAACTTCAAACAATCAGTGGTAAGCGATTTGGATCAATATTTTACTTTTTAATTTAACTTTCAATTTTCTTAATTAAAGACAACTGGAAATTATGTAGTACCGAAAGGGCAGTCCAAGGGTGCTAACCCTTCCTTGACTGTAACCGACTCCCGAATCCGACACATCTTTGGTAAGACGCAGATCAGGTAAGAAATAAGGTATCCGATCTACCTATTTATTTTTAAATAAATGATCGGTGGCGACTCCAATCCACATTTACCTAAGTCGAAGCCCAATCCCGGGGCCCGAACCGAAAGACGGTTACGACACGTACGAAATAGGGTAGACAGCATTTGTAAATTTAATTAAAGCTTAGATCGAATAATAAAAAGTTTTTTATTTTTTAAATTATAGATTAAATAAGATTTGTTTAAATAATAACAATTAAATAAGTTCATATTTAAAATAATCAGATATCAGAGTTAAAGAGTAATAATAATTTTTTAAATAGAAAATTAATAAGATAATTACAAGATAATATTTACTTATAATATTTGTTAACTATTAACGACGCACGTATCCTACATACACAATTAGGTAAACGTAAGACAGCAAGAGAAAGCATCACTCATTTTAATTACTAAACTCACTTAATAAATTAAAAAATTCTTTAATTCATAACTGAAACGGATGTTCTCTTTAATTATTTGTACAAATGGTAATAAGAAATGAGTGAGAATGGGTTTGATTATTTTCTTCTTTATTTTTTTAAGATATAAGATTGAATTTGCTCCTAATTAACTAATTCAGTGATACAAGATATTATATTATTTAAATATGAATGAAAATTAAAAAAAATATTATCAATGAAAGAAATAGAGTTGTAAAGATCATTATATTTGCTATAATACTCTGATTCAAATTAATTGGTCAATGAATTACATATTAATATTTATATAAAAATATAAAATTTTATTTTATTGATAAAAATTATATAAAAATTATATTTCTTATAAATCTCTCATTTGATTTTTTAACATTAATTGAAATTTAATACTATTATCTAATATAAAATTTATATTTTTAAAAATAAAAAGTCCATGACAAAAAAATCTTAAGTGGAGTTAAATTTTCAATTTAGTAATTTAGATTTTTTATTGAAAAATGTAGGGGTAAGCTTTTTCCGTTTGAGTTAATTAAGGAAATAAAATATAAAAAGAATTCAAAGTTGCAAACCATATAGCTTTGATCCATGCAAATACGGTAATGTCAAAGATAAGACTGACGCTGTAACCTATTAAAACGTGAGCAAGTGTGAACGCAGCCATTGATACCTCTACTGTTTATTTTCCACGTAATTCGTGGAGGCAGTTGTTTGATTACGACGCACCCTGTTTATAGTGGGTGATTCATTTTCTACTGGCAAATAATTATTTTATTAGATAGAGTACATAAATGATCTTAAAATTATAAGATATTTTAGTTGACCCTTATTTACATATGTAATGAGGTAAGAAGGAGGTAGTATAGTAGGCTGTTCCCAACACTAGATTGAGAGCAATTTCCATGGAGACCTCTGAATTATAAATTACCCACCGTGAGACTCGATCCCACGATCCTAATGTTAATAGCCTTGTGCTCTACCAACTGAACTAGACAGACAATTCAAAATTATAAGATATCATTTTATCAAATCTTTTAATTATTAAAAGTTATAAAATAATTCCTCAACTACAAAATATTATTTTATTGAATAACTCAACTATTAAAATCATAAAATAATCACTTAACTATTCATATATTTTTTTTTTCTTTAAAATTTTGATAATCGTTTTAACTGAATATCAACTTGCTGATTTAATGAATATTTTGTATCTTTTGAAAGTTTTATGACCAAAAAGATCATTTGCATATAGTTTAGGGACCTCCGGTGTACTTTACCCTTAAATTTGTCACAATGTTTCATAATTTAATTAAAATAAACACAAATGTATGAAATTTTATACAACATAATATATAATCTAAGATACACTAAAATGAGTAAAAAATGTATTGACATAATAGCAAAACTTGGGGTCTGATCAATACCTAATTCCTTCGATGAAAATCAGACGCTGGCTGCGTCTAATTTTGGGGACTTCGGCTGCATAATTTTATAAATCCATATCCCCGCAGCAGCTGAACTGTCGAAGCAAAAAACGATGGCGATCATGTGAACCAACAAATCATTTTTATCAGGCATGGAATAGATCAGGTAAGAGATTTGCCAGCCCATTCACGCTCCCTTCGCTTCTGCTTGGCTTGCATCCGGTTGAATTTTTCCTTCCCCTTCTCCAAAAGAGGGTCAACCACCACGTAGTCATTTGGATCATCCTTGCGAGACATACCATCCTGCATCATGAGTCAAGCGCAACTCTTGATCAACTCCATAAAGCCTCAGACAAAAAAAAATGGGGGGGGGGGGATTTTGCAAAGTTTCTACAGAGTTTCTTCCTTTTTTTTCGCTTTTGGCATGACTAATTTGGTGCTGCCCATAGTATATGAGTACAAGAAATCAAATTGTTTATATTCAAACGAAAGAAAACCTACCTTGGTATCAGGAGCAAACTGCAACCGAACTGCTTTCCAGTCAGACAAATCCTCGTTATCATCACCTCCAGGCGCACAGCTAGAAGCAGTGGGTTTTGTAAAAACAGATTGCTTAAACTTCTCAAGTTTTGCTAAGACCTAGGTTTACAAACAACGGTAGAGTTAGTTCCAACATGTGTGGAGAATGTGATTTCAAATTTTAAAAGGAACAAACTTCAACCTAGATCTATCACCATTCTTTACCTCTTATATCAATAAAAGGGTTTCATTAGCACATATAAGGTGCATAATGACTTGCTCTATGCTAAAAGTCGAGTTGAATGGGAGATTCTAACATGTGAGAGTTTGCATTGCAAAGACAAACAAGAAAACCCAGGCAATGAAGGAAAGAACAACATTGAACCAGAAATTTCATAACATACTTCATCTTCACGTCCTTGAATTCTACGCTTCTTCTGTTTTTGCAATAATCGTCCTCGTTCAGCCTCGCTGAACAACTGTAAATCTCCATCAGCTTTAGCCATGCGCTCAGCTCTGGCTTCTGATCCGACACCCTTTTTCTTCAAGGACAGCTTTTCAACCCTTGGTTGATCATCATCACTACTTTCATCATTGGATCTGGCGTAGATTTACAGCATCAAAAAAGCCGTATATGAGCAAAAAGGAAAAGGCAACAATAGATTGTGTCTTGAATAATCAGGGGGACGGGGCAGAAAGAGGTGATAATGTTTGAAAAGAAACAAAAACAAAACTAGGATAGAAACATGGGTCAAGTCATTGCCATAGTAAAATTAACACAACAAAGAAAAAAGTAAAAACCACTCAAACAACTAAGGGAGCATAGCTATTCAGATGACGAACTTCAGTAATTTTGAAACTTTCTGGCAGGCCATACATGTCAAATATATGTACGGTAGTTACTACACAGGTAGATTCGACAAGATATCTTTTGAGAGATTAATTAAGGTTCTATTTGGTTTTTTCTTTTGCTTTCGATAGAAAATGAAAAGAAAAAAAATAAAAACAAAAACTTCAGATGTTTACCTCCGGGCAGAAATTTTATCGTCATTTGCTTTAGAGCTCTCTGCACATAGGTTCCAAAAGTCAAGACAAATTGTAAGGTAATCACTAACTAATAAATAAACCAGAGAGAATGAAGGATGTGTACTAGAAAAAAAATAGTTTCTCTGATAACAGGCCAATTTCCATATATGTAATATTGACAAGTAGATGAAAATATTTGGGTAAATTCTAACTTCTAAACCCTAAACCATGTGCATCATATCACTAAATAAACACCAATTGAAATTTCAAGGTGTAGACTAATAATGCTCTTTCCTTACTAGATGATACATATAGCTCTAATTACCCACGAAACTGTATTGAATAGTGATTCACTTTGATGATTTAAGCAAGAGCTAAATATTAAAAAGCCAACAGCTCCTGTTATGGCAGGAATATCCTTTTCCAGACATTACTTCTCCAACATGTTATAACAACATCAATACCAAATTAACCAAATGCAGAAACCCAGAAATTTTACTTTGCATTCACATTTATTTCATGCAAAACCAAAATACTTGCCTCTTTCACATTTTCCATGACGGTGACAAGTTTAAATACTTCTCCACTTGTCTCTTAATAATATCTAAAATTGTTTCAACGTTTCATTAAACTCAGAAGATATTATGCCTAATTGCATGTGCTCATGCACAAGTGACAAAAAATGCATGGAACAAACTACATATATAACAGTCTACCTTACCGTCAGGATTTCCAAAGACCATTACAGAACTGGAAATGTAGCGCAAGGAATAGTCATAGTTACCCATATATATGTTTTTCTCTTTAGGAGAGATTTTAAGACTGAGCCAAAGCCTAGTTTTATGATAATTAATAGTGTAATAGTGTTCGGGATTTCAAACTTCTGTTTAAACACAAAAGACAAATGAGCTCCATAATAAAGAGTTACCATTTTGCATCTTTTGCTTAGGTGAGAGATCTCCAATCTCCTTCCGTCTGTTTAGTATTTGACGACGCATTCGAGCATCAAAACTGGCTTCATCGTCGTCACTATGATAAAGGGAATCAGACAACTCAGCTTCTGCATCTTTTTTATCTCCTTCTCTTTTTGATCTTAGAGCTCCCCTCACAGACAATTGCAACTCCTTAGCAGCTTTGGCAGCAGCTAAATCCTGCATCAAATAGTTGCATTAATAATATAGACACAAGATTCATTGATTGCTCATTATACGGAAAAAACACTCTGCAACTCAGCATAAATACATCACTGACTATGTTTACCATTAAGTGGTTGGGACACCAATTTTGAATTCTTTAACGGATAACCATATTAAAATCACACTGAGGAAAATGGTAGTAAAGAGAATGATTGGATAAAGAATTTTTGTAAACAAGAAAACTGTGCTTCAATTTACTTGGCTTTATCGTGGTTTCACAATCTATTTAAGTATTAAAAAAAGGTGAGGGAAAATACACATCAAGATAGATGAGCGATCTTGCCTGTTCTTTATCAGGAACTTCTTGCTTTAGGAGACGGGGATCATCCAATACATCATGACTACTCTTGATCTTTAACTTCACCGCTTCCAATTCTTTCTCTTCTTCTTCTGCTTCTTCCCCAAACGACAGCAAGTTCAGCTTTCTGAACTCTCCAAGTAAAACATACAACTTAAGCGACAAGAACGCATTCAACATGCTCAAAAGAGAGTGCTCAGTTATGGAAGAAGAATACTTACTTAACAGCTTTCTTCTTTGAATCTTTGTTCTCAGCCTCAGCTGTAGGCTGGGTCAAAGGTCTAGAAGTTACTCTCGGAACAATATCTTCAAATGGATTCCACAGCACCTAAAAGAAGCAGCTCAAAGTATAAAAAAAAAACTGCCTCACATAATCCTCTTCAAAAATAATAAAAACTAAGGACAATAAGCTGTTTACATCACACCATAGCAATCTTGTTAATTATTTACTTAAACATAAGCATAACAAGGAAAATTTACCTCAACAGATTTTATTTTAGGAGGAGGATCCAAAGGCCTGTCATTCTGATCAGTGTCTACCTCGCCTATCCTCAGAAGATTAAATATAGATTCTCCGGTAACCTACCAAAACGAACAATCAGTTCTAGTAACACTCAAGAATGGATTACAGCATAAAACAAATTATATTAGAATGTAATCACCTGTTACCTTTCCAAAAATAGTGTTCTTTTTATCAAGCCATTCACATTTATCCAACGATATAAAGAACTGGCTCCCATTGGAATGCGGCGTACCAGCATTGGCACAAGCAACAATACCTCTATGATTAAACCTTAAACGCGAATGAAACTCATCCGAAAACGTACTCCCGTAAATACTTTCTCCACCTAAAAACAAAAAATTCAAATTCATAACTAAATTTTCAACTAACCCTAACCCTAACTAATTTAAAACGGCTACAGTAAAAAATTTCTGAATAACAAGGGGGGATTACCAGTGCCGGAACCGGTGGGGTCACCTCCTTGGAGGAGGAAGCCTTTGATAATCCGATGAAAGATTGTGTTGTCGAAATAGCCTTCGAGGCAAAGCTGAACGAAGTTCCGAACAGCTTTTGGCGCTTCTTTGGGCCAAAGCTCGATATCGAGGGGGCCGTATGTCGTGTTGATTATCACTTTGCCCTTCGTCGGAGGTTCTAAAACGTACACCGTCGACATCTTCTATTAAGAAGATTCTCAAATCGGAGTCGAAATTTATTTTCGAATTGATTTTTTTTTTCTTTCTTTCTGGGTTTTGTTTTTAGAATACGAGTAGGGAACGAGAACTGGTTTAAGCGACGTCGGTTGTGATATTTCGGATAAAATAAAATCACAATCGATAATTTGAGAAAATAAAAAATAATATAAAGAAAATATAAAATTTACGTGAAAAACCCTTAAATAATATAGAATAAAAAGTACGGGCAACAGTAGAAGAATTTCACTATAATAAAATATGAATTACAACTTCTCTCAATATACCAAGAAGAAAATAATGATAATTTTTTATAAATAAAAAAGAAAAAAATAACTCTCAAGAAACTCTTCCGAGAGTTTAAATCCGTATGCTACGAAACTTGAATAACTAATTTGGGTAAATTAAACAATGATAGCTCAATTAACAATAAGTTTACACTTTGATATTTAATTATAAAATGTTGGAACTTAATTAGTTAATTTTGTACATTTTTATTTTTAAATAAATATATAAGACATGTATCATTACCTTAATCTTGCTCATGAAAAACTTTGTCACGAATAGTTCAGTCCTTATACTGTTATTTATTATATTATTGTATTGATATTTGAGTAATATTTTTATTATAAAACTTTTCACTAATATTAATTTTAAATTGATTGTTGATAGTTGATTTTTTTATCCTTTATTTTTTTCGTATTTTGCCTTAGATTTTATCAAATTTTTATTTTATATATCAGAGCTGTGTTACTTTATTTTATTTAATTACTTTCTCTTTTCTCGTATAAAAATAGTAGATGATTTTATATGTTGTTATAATACGTTATTTATCAACTCTTGTAACATGTATCTTCTCTTTTTCATGGTTAATTTTGACGTCGTTTCTTCAATTAGTGTTTACTTAGTTATCTTATTGATCTACTTCTATCTTAGATTCTAAAATTGATTCTTTTTTCATTGATAAACGATCACAATCACCAAAGATAAATCATGATTGAGTTATAATAAAACTAGTTTATCGACATGTTATTTTTATATATATGTTTCTATGTTAGTGTTGATAGTATTTATCTTTCAGTGATTTTTATTTGTATATATCCTTTTGTTCGAGTTGTTTAATTGAATTTTTAATCATTTTTTTTGTATGGTCTTATTATGTTCTTTAATGATTAGTTTAGGGTATTTGTGATCACGTCAGTTCTTCCGTAATATATTAATGACATATGATTTGATTGATGTCATTTAAATGATTAAATAGTATGACTAATAAAATTAAAAAAATAGTAATCAAATTAAAAAAATTCATTGTTAGACGGTCATGGTATTTATCATGCACATAGAGTTTGGGTCTAATAGGATGTGCGGCCTTCAATATTTAAAGAAATTTCTTAATCGATTGCACATCTAGATAAGCCTTAAACCACATCTTGTAAGAACTTAAACTCACCAAAGATTAGAATAAGTTATAAGCCCTCAAGACTTCGACGGATGTAAAATCTATAACAACTAATAGTGACAATAAGCACAAAAATAACTAAAAATAAAGCGACAAAGAGAATAGAACAAACACTTAGAGAATTGTTACTCTTTCAAAGTAAGAAGGAATGAAATGAGATACAAACGAAGTGAGAAGACTTTCTATTTATAGTTAAAATTCTTACACAATCAATGACCTAGATCGATTTATATCTACGGCTAAAATCAAACTAAATGATATAAGATTCCACGATCTAAGAAAATCAAATTTAATTTTATCTAATCACATCAATTAGTAAGAGTTTTTTCTTAGATAGGTATTTATACCGAATATGATGTGATTCTTTCACAATCTTCTATGATTTATTGTCACTTACAATTTTCACAAAACCAATATAAATGGTCTCTCTAACATTTTCCAAGTAGTTGTCCAAATTTGGCGGTCTTGATAAACGTGATATTTCATATAAAATATTTTTAATGTATACTTGTATCAATGTCTCGTATTTAAATGCGTGACTCATGATGTATTATATATATATATGGATAATATTATGTTATACAATGTTATATTCTTTTAATTTTATACAAATTTAGAACGGTTGGATTATATGACGTAAATGGCTGAGATTAACTGAAATTGAATATATATATATATATATATATATATATATATATTTCGAATAGGGTGGCTTTCAGCTTGTAGCAAAAGCTGTTGGTAAAGGCAACAAATTTCTACATGTTTCTCTCACAAATCAGAGTTTTTACAGGCACGGGACCTGGTCAAATTGTCTAAAACAAGCCATGGCGGAAATGGAGGATCCATGGTAGTTTCACCTAAGTTACCAGGTGAACAAGCCTAAAACTAGGCCTATATTTTCTTTCATTCCTTGATCATTCCCATTTAATTTTTGTTTGCAAAAGCCATCGCAGGCGCTGGAGGTGGCATTGCCCCCTGGTGGTCGCAACGGCGGTGCTTGTGGTGGTGGTGGTTGCAGAAACTTGTTTCGGTCATCAACCAGAACAGATTCTGATAACACCACCATTTCCGTGAGCGCCCCTACCGGAGACAACGTCGTTTTTTATATGGCTCCTCGCTTCTCATCGGACGACAATGTACCATCCAACACCACTGCGGTGGCCATTGACAAAGACAAGAACAGCTCACACGCCGTTCGTTGGGCTATCGATCATCTCGTCACCTCCAATCCGCTCATCGTATTGATCCACGTTAGGAATAGAAACCGTAGGTACCCATTCTCTTGTTTTCTCATATTATATCATCGTCATTGCCCCTTTAGTGTTCGAAGAAAAGTGTCCATGACAATGAAGTATTCGAAAAAGACCCATAAAAGAAATTTCGCCCCATGCATTCCTTTTTTTTTTTCCTGATTTCTCTGTCATTTTCATGCAGAAGGTGAATGCGAACCTGATAACGACGTAAGCCAGCTTTTCGTCCCTTTTCGCGGCTACTGCGCTCGCAAAGGGGTAAGCAAGCATTTCTCAAGAACAAATAACAATTGTTTAAAGAATTAGTCTAATGCTATAGGAAGTCCCTCTACTGTATGTTCTTTTTACGAATTTAGTCCCTCTACATATATATCTTGGTAATTTTTGTACTGGTTGAACAAACTTTTAGCATAACAAAAAAGAAAAAAAGAAGAAAAGAATGTATAATATTTGTCCATCTATATAAAAATATCAATGTATGTTGTGTATGCCACAATTCACATCACCACATATCAAGTTATTTGATGTAACTAATAGAAAATTGTTGGTTTAAGGATTGAAATACATATTTCGAAAAGTAGAAGATAATTTCACCATAAAACGCATAATATGAGGACCCTGACCTTAAGAACTTGTTCACCAAATTGAAGCTAATTATCATCCAATTTCTCTGTGAAATTCAGATTCAAATGAAGGAGGTTGTCCTTGAGGATGCTGATACCTCTAAAGCACTTTTGGACTACATTAGTAGAAACTTGATTAACACCATAGTCCTTGGTGCAGCAACCAGGAGTGCAATATCAAGGTGTTTCTGGGTTTTCTATATATTATGTTCTAACTATCAAAGTTCAGTTCAGGGTGTTTCTTTATATTATATGTTCTAACACATCAAAGTTCAGTTCAGGGTGTTTCTTTATATTATGTTCTAACACATCAAAGTTCAGTTACTTGTCTTATAGGAAATTCAAATGTGACATCCCGACTGCCTTGATCAAATCTGCACCAGAGTTTTGTTCCGTGTATGTGATTTCCAAAGGTAAGATATCCAACGTGCGAACAGCACAACGACCTGTGTCGAATACCGTTGCCCCACCAAAGGCACCTCTAGGAATGCCACCACAGATTCCATTGGATCAAAGTGAAGATGATGGATACAGGTAGGGAAAATTCAGTTACATTATTGATATTTGATTAAAAGTTTGGTGCGGGGAAAATGTGGCAAACAATCAAAATCTTAAAACTTTGTTCGAAAAGTTACCAATGGTTTTTTTTCTTTTCGTACTGGCACAATGTTGACATTGTATGTTTTACTTGTAACAGAGGATATAATATGAAGGGAGTACCTGGAAATGCGGGATTGGAGAGACATTCCTTTGATAATTCCTCAAGAGTGCCTATACGAGACAGACCCAGAAGCTCTCCAGGAAACATGTCATTGGACATTGATGCAGCCCGAGGATCATCAGCATCTAGACAAGATTCTTTGTATAATGACATTGAATTTCCAGGAAAACATTCCCTCGGATCTGTTTATATATCTGATCAAGATCTAGAATTCGATGTGGGTTCAAGCAGCCATTCTGATACATTTCAACAAAGTTCGGTAAGCACCATCCTTCAGTATTTAGCCTATGTAATGTGTTTGTACAGTAAAGCACTACTGGCTTAATGACAGAACTGCTAACCATAATATGATCATGACCATGAATTGCAGCAAGACATAGAAGATGAAATGAGAAGGTTAAAGCTTGAACTTAAGCAAACCATGGATATGTACAGCTCGGCTTGCAAAGAAGCTCTTACAGCCAAGAAAACGGTGATCGACTACTATCATATTCTCTACTTTTCTGTTTCTATCAACAATATCTTCCAAGAAAATTATGAAATCCCAAGTCTTAAATATAAAAAAACTTTGACTTTGTTCAGGAGTCTGAAAGTTGGAATTTTCTATACATAAGCATAAGATGGTTTTGATGAATAAATGATAAACAAAGTAAAAATTAGCAGATGATAAAGTTATTGCAGATGGTTATTCTTCTTGTAACTACTGGTACAAGAACACAAGAATCTGAAAATGGAGCTTCGTCAATTTTTCTCAAGAACATCATTTTGAAAACATAGTCAACTTTTTTTTCTGAGTGCAGGCCAATGAGCTTCATCAATGGAAGATGGAGGAGGCTCGCAGGTTTGAGGAAGCCAGGCAAGCTGGAGAAGCAGCTCTTGCCATGGCAGAGAAGGAGAAGGCTAAATGCAGAGCTGCCCTTGAAGCAGCTGAGGCAGCACAGAAACTAGCAGAGATGGAAGCATATAGAAGAAAACAAGCAGAGTATAAAGCTAAGCAAGAGTCAGATGAGAAAAATCGAGCTTTGCATGCGTTGGCAACTAACGATGTCCGGTACAGAAAATACACCATAGAAGAAATTGAAGAAGCTACTGAAAGTTTCGCAGCAGAAAACAAGATTGGAGAAGGAGGTTATGGACCTGTGTATAAAGGCAAACTTGATCACACTCCAGTTGCCATCAAAATTCTGAGACCAGATGCTGCTCAAGGGAAGAGACAATTCCAGCAAGAGGTTGAGGTTCTTTGCACCATTAGACACCCTCACATGGTCCTCCTACTTGGTGCCTGCCCCGAGTATGGATGCTTGGTATATGAATACATGCACAATGGCAGCTTAGAGGATAGACTATTTAGAAAAGGAAATACTCGTCCACTTTCATGGAGGAGACGATTTAAAATAGCTGCTGAAATTGCAACTGCACTTCTGTTCCTTCACCAATCAAAGCCAGAACCACTAGTGCACCGAGACCTTAAGCCTGCTAACATTCTCCTCGACCGCAATTTTGTGAGCAAAATTAGTGATGTTGGCCTAGCACGGCTAGTTCCCCCTTCTGTAGCTGACAGTGTAACACAATATCACATGACTTCAGCAGCAGGGACCTTTTGCTACATAGATCCTGAATATCAGCAATCAGGCATGCTAACGACTAAATCAGACATATATTCTCTAGGAATAATGTTGCTCCAGATTATTACAGCCAAGCCTGCGATGGGTATTGCTCACCATGTTGGCAGGGCCATTGAGAAAGGAACTTTAGCCGATGTACTTGATCCAGCTGTGCCAAATTGGCCACTTGAAGAGGCTTTATCATATGCTCGGTTGGCAATACAATGTGCAGAGCTGAGGAAGAGGGACAGACCAGATCTTGCCACCGTTATAGTGCCAGAACTTAACCGATTAAGGGACATTGGATACAGCAATAATGGTTCTAACAGTTGTGGTTATTACCAAGGACAGGGCAGCAGTGATCATAGCCAAGGATTCTACACATGTGGCGCTAGCCGTGCACTCAGTAGTAGTGATGCTTTTTGCACTGCAGTTTCAAGTTCGAGGTTGTCATTACCAAGTCAGGTTTGAGACTTACCTATCGCTCATATTAATTAGACGTGTAGCCAGCCGAATAATGAGAGGAAACAGCAAGAGTTACTTGCTACACAATCTCCATATGGATGCAAAACGTACATATGATTCTTGAAAGCTGGTTTTCTAACATGGTATTTCTTATTGATTGACTAGGAATTAACGACCAAGTCTGCAAACTCGGAACCAGATGGCGCTTCTGACTGAAGTTCCGGATGAGAGTGAACCAACATTGTTTGTGAACAAAACGGAAAGGAAACGATTCTGGATTATTCAAATACGACACCGGGAACACGTACATGGCACTTGCGAGAAGAGCTGCTTTTGAAAAGCAAGCCATAAAGCTGCTCAACTTTTTGGTCTTGCAGAGGTGATCATTAGCAAAGAAAAATCCAATGAAGGGGCTTGAAGGGCTAAACTTGTCTCCCATGTTAACAGAGATGTATTGTATATAAACTGGCTAAGCACCTAGATAGAGATGAACATCAAAGATTTTCATTGTTTTGAAGCTTAAAACTCATTTATATTAATCAAATTTAATTTTAAAAAAATTCTCAAACTGATATATATGGTACTTCAACAAACAATCCTATTAATGATACTGATATTTTGACCACGTCAACAATCTCATTGGTTGTTGAAGTGACACGTCAATGCTGTTGGTGACCTTGTTAAGGTTGATCTTTGCACATACTTTTGGCATAAATTACTATAACTATTTTTTGAATTATTAAATTAGTAAAATATTAAAAAATATTTTTTAAAATTAAATTAAAGTATAAAATTTGACTATTAAAATATCGAGGGTTATTAACCTTGTTAAATTGTTAAACACGCCATCTACGATCAGTTCCCATGTCTCCAAAGTCAATAACCATCCACCAACTTAAATTATTAAAACTATATTCTATCATCCCATAGTGGTCTAATTATGGTTTTAGTCCCTATAGTAAGTTGAAATTCAAGTTTTAACCGTTTCAGTTTAGTTTTGGTGAAGTTTAGTCCTATTTTTATAATTAACATATCCAAATTCATAAGATCAATAGTTTTTTATTGTTAAAGTAATTAATTTGGACTGTTAATCAACAATACAAAAGGTAGAATAATTAAATTACGTCAATTAGAATATAGATATTAAAAATCGAATTTCATAATAGAGGGACTAAAACGATTATTAAATATTCTTACTTTCTTCCCTTACCTGTCAACAAGATCAAAAGAAAACTCAACTACAAAAACAAACGCCCTCCACCAGGCCACCTTTTGCTTAAAGAATTCTCTCTTCTGAATCTCTCAAAGACTTCAATGGAATATTACAGCAGATCAAGGTCATATGGCAATGGGATGATGAAGTTGGATACCTACCAGGAGGCACCACCAAGGCCAGGTTCCTATGAGCTAAGGTCCTATAGCGTTTCCTATGCACAGTCCCGGATGGCGGCCAACACCAGGGACTTCAAGTTGAAGAAAGTGAAGAGCACTTCGGGTTCGTCTTCTTCAAGATCGTGGACCTTTGGTGACCCTGAGTTTCAAAGGAAGAAAAGGGTTGCTAGCTATAAGATGTATAGTGTTGAAGGTAAGGTCAAAGGGTCCTTGAGGAGGAGCTTCAGGTGGCTTAAAGATAAGTACACAGAAGTTGTTTATGGCTGGTGATGATTATTGCAAGTTGTTATGATCCTTTTCTTTTATGCTTGACCTTGCTTGTATCCAAGGTATGTAATGATAAATGACTTGAAATACTTAAGCCTTTGTTGACATTGTATCTCGTGTTCAAACCAAGACAACTCTCGTTATTCAAATTTGGCCAACCTTTAAAACATTTCAATTTTCATACGCGTAACCTTTTGCGACTAAACATATAAAGGAGCTTTGATGGCAAATTTTGAAGGATTTTGTGTTTGGTGAACCTTAAAACCATGCTTAAAGGACATCGAATTACTTGTGGATTGATCCAAAATTCGGTATATTTACTCGGAAGGATGTTAAGACTAAGAAGAAAGAGTTAGTTTTTTTTGTAGGTGAAAAGTATCATTTTCTCAACTCAAGAACACCTTTTTCTTTAATGAAAGGAATATATATGTGAAACAATCAACTCACAAACTCAGAAATGAGAGGACAATAATGAAAAACACTATGTCTGGATATGAAAACAATACCTGATTCTCAGATGAAAAAATGTGTCTAAATGAAAGGAGGGTCCCCATAGTCCTTTCATAGGGTACCCTAACCCCGTAGTCCTTATTTGGCAGAAGAATAGCGATGGGAAACCTCTGCAATCACTCATGGTATGTCTGGTAAACAGTTAATGGCTATTGGGGTTGCAGCAAACCATTTAAGAGCAAGCAAATGGAGGGAAGAAGATGGACCCTGGGGCATCCGACAGCCACCTCCAACAACCAAGGTTCACCATTAGTGAAGTGAATGTTCCACAGGGAAAAACAATCCATTATCAAGAATCACACCAGCAGAAGTCATATGGGCCACTCCCTGCCATGAAGTGGCATTACTTCCAATGGAAATAGGCTGGCCTGTTCCATTTTCCTGTTTTCGAAATGACAGATGACAGCAAAACATATACCCCATAAAAGGTAGCGTGGGGTAATGCCAACAGTGTAAGGAATTTAATGTCCCTTAAGCAAGGTCTCGGATTTGACCCTAGGGAATATCATTCAAAAACCTGCAGAATTTATCACTGTCAAAAGTTATGCAGAACCAAAATGTTCCACTTTGAGCCCCACTGAGGGAATGAACCAAAGCCAACAATATCACCTTAAATCTATTAGAAAGTGGGACATATAAAAGGTGGGAGCTGAGATGGAATGATTGCTTGAGCACTAATATCAAGGAATATAACTCTCTTTAGAGATTAGACCTAAAGGTGACCCCATGACCGTGGCCATACAGTCGGTCCAATGGTCTGTCATTCTTGTAGCAAAACATTGTCAACAGATGTATGAATCAGCTGTCAACAAGCAACTTTACCCTATATCAGTAAATGTAAAACCGGTTTGAGTTCTAACTTTAGTCTCCCTCTCCTTGAAGGAATGCCTTATAAAGCCAGATTTTGCCTTTAAATACCAAGGAATGCCTTGAGATTCCTTAACTTTACTGCTAAATTCGTAAGATGTCCCCAGCAAAGGCACGGTGGGGCCGTCTCACCATACCTTATTGAAGATTCTGCAATAAACTTTTTGCATTACAGAGTACTTTTGTCTTTGATATATAGTAATAGTAGTAGTAAAAGCATAATATGACTATATAAATATAGAATGAGGTCTAATGGCAACTTGGTTGGCCATAAATCAGTGCATGTCTGTGAAGAAACAGCTAAGATGATTTTAATAGAATCATTTTACATGGTGATAAAAGTACACGGTAAACGGCCAACATGTGGCCCATTCAAAGAGAGTTTTGTCGTTCATGACTCAATGATTATGAATCACATCAGGAACACAAAAGAAGGGGAAACCTACCAACAATGCTTCATTGCGCATTTTGTTGATTGGGATAATGACCAAGTTGCTCCATCTGCCAGTTTTCTTGAGGAGCCACATGTTGGTGGGAAGGTTTGTATTGCTGCAAAATTAAGTGCAAATTTAGATGTGTAATCCAAGGCCTAAGAATTTAACCATAACAAACATGCCTCGTCTGGTTGGTTAATGTAATAAGACGAGGAAAACACAATTTACGTATTCAAGTACCGCTACATGTTTCTCAGAAATTTCATACCTCCATTTTCTCCATAAGTTCTTTGGCTGTTGGAGCAGAGACAATTATATGCCTAGCACCTGGCTTGATGAAACCCTCTTTAACGCCGTTGTCGAATAATGCGAGCAGATTATTGTAGTAACCGTCGACATTTAACAAACCAACCTGCATTTAGATTAATTTAGGCTGTACTAACAAATATTAACTTAGCAAGCTTAATTCTTCAATCTTGAAGAATGGTTCCTTACTGTTTTCTTATGTATTCCAAGTTGGGACCATGTTATCATCTCCAGCAACTCTTCCATTGTTCCATATCCACCTAAAACACCAAACTTCAATGTTAGAACTGGTTACATTAAACAATACTCTTTCACAAAGGCCGAGGAACCTTGTACCAGGAAGAGCAACAAAGGCATCGGCTTCTCGAGCCATTGCAGCTTTGCGCTCATGCATGTCCGAAACCATTCTCACTTCTCCAAATGTTTCTCCTGATATCTGTCATATTTTCTATGCATTAACAGTCAATCTATCTCAGCCTAGAGATAAATGCTTAAAACTAAGGAAAACAACAATTGGCATTAAAGATATTCCAGCAAATTCTTGCACCGATGAGCAACACCAAACATTAAACATGAACAGATACCTCTAGAGGCATGAGAGCTTTCGGAATTATCCTGCATGTAAAGAACAGGCTATTTTACTTAGTAATTCACCTCATGTGAAAGAAGGAAGCTGCCTGCAACTTGTAATTGCAGAGAGAGAAGAAAAAAAGCATTATGCATAGGCTCACTAATGCAACTTTCTTACATACCCAAGAACATGACAGCCTCCATCATATACTGTCTTGGATATCAAACCCATCAACCCAACACTTCCTCCACCATATACCAAGTCTATCTTCCTCTTCACCTATGATCAAAACAACACCTGTAAGCGAACTCCACAAATTGTTGGAAAAAAAGGTATACAATTGCAGCATAGAAGCAAGGAGACTAAAATAGATTATTAATAGAAAACACAAAGAAGGCTAGGTAGAGAAAACTAGAAAAGACCCATTTTTACAAGCAGCTCACTTGCATTAAAGGAACAAACAACCTTTGATGGTCAACTCAGCAAAGAGAGCAACCCCAACTCAGTACATGAATGAAACACCAAATGTACAAACTCCACCGTTACAGAATCACAAAATCCAGTAAGAATCCCATCTTTCTCACTAGAAACTAACACCCAATGCTCTCAAACAATCATCCCAATCTCCATTAAAGACATGCTAAAACATTGAAAAGTTCATCTTTTGAAACCAAAAACACAAACTTTGTTTTTGAAACTAATGTGTAATAGATAGAATATTGAAGTGAAAAAGCAAAGGCAAACCAGTTCATTGCCCAATTCAAGAGCAGCCTCGCTGAAGATTTTCCTATGTCCAGAGTTGCTTCCACAGAAAACACACACCCTTATGAACTTGCTTCTGGCTTTCTCTTCTTCCATTAACAAACAATGTGTGTATCAGTTTTTGTTTTTATTACAATCTAAAATCACTGAATTTTGCTAAAGAAAACAAAAGGCAATAGCCTTTCCCTTTGAAGAGATGACAATTGTCCTCCTGACAATGAAAACTGTCCGAGAAGAAAGCTCAGGATTTAATCATATATATTAAATTATGGAATAAAACTAATAACAAAGGCTTTAGACTTAGTAGAGAGCAAACTCATAAAATACAATTTAACCTTGTTAACTTAAATCAAATATTTAGATTTTTTTTTCAGAAATAAAACATGTGATAAAATTTTAATGGTCAAATTATATCTTTAGTCCTTTCATTATGTTAATTTTTTGGACTTAATCCGCTTGTTTTAATTAGTGTAATTTAATCGTATGCTGTTATTATATTATTAGTAGTCCAAATTAATGACATTGTTAGTTGTTAACTTAAAATTTTTAGGTATGTTTAGCTCGCCTCCAATGGAAGTTGTGAAGCAACTGCAGGATGAAGCTGGAATGCCGGAATAGTGTTCTTTTGTTTTCTATCTTTTTCATTTTAAAAAATGTATAGGTATGTAATCGAACCAAACGTTCAGCGAATTGTTCGTTTATCGTTCCGTGGTTAGTTCGTTTATGTTTGTTTATTTATTAAACGAACAATCGTGAACAATATTTTTTGTTCCTTTAATTAAATGAACGAACACGAACAAAGGGTTCGTTCGTTCATTTATGTTCAAAAATCCTTTCGTTAATGTTCGTTTACGTTCGATAATTCGTTCATTTATGTTCATTTTTTAATTAAATTTATATTTATCTTCATTTATTTATATTCTTTTAAGATTTTTTGGTTGAAAAGTTACATTTTATGTTCGTTTGTGCTTGTTTATCATTTTACGAACGAACACGAACAATTTACATTCTTTAATAAACAAACATGAACTAAAATTTTTGTTCGCTTAGTTGTTCGTGTTCGTTCATTTGTTCAGTTAAAATTAAACAAATAAATATGAACATACTCTCATTCGGATTCGTTCGATTAATTTATAAGTCTAGTGTTTAGGGTTTAAAGTTTATGGTTTTGAGTTATCAACTCAATAACATAATCAAGTCTAACAAAAAATTAGTTGATCGTGTTTAAGTAATAATAATTGTTTAAAATATTAAAAGTTTACCTCATTGCTTTAGTGACAATAATTATTAGAGTTGTCGATTTATATTTATTATTAAAGGATAATTTTTTTAATCTCACTTGTAGGTTAAAAGATTTTTTTTAAAAGAAAATATATAGTATGATATAATTATAAAAAAAAATTATTTAAAAAAAATTAACAAAATGATAATGTATACTTATTCTATAGATTTAACAACTCAAATTCAAATAATTTTAAAAACATTTTTAAATAAATATTATCTTATAATCATTATAAATTATTTTAAAAAATTATCAATTGAATTGAAAATCAAATCGGACATTTAAGAAGAGATTCAGTTCCACCCATCCCAAGATAAAGACATCCTAGTCCAAGCAAATCAATTAGTTGATCAGTTTCATGTATCCCTAATTCCTAGGATATTGAACCGTAAATTAAGCCAACGTACCCTACAACAGTGTTTATCCACCGCGGTTTACGACTTCAAGTTCGAAGATCCCGCCGACCTTAAACTTCTACTGCAATATTTATAGTCAAACAGTTCCCCCTTTCAAACTCCCAACAAAAAGTCCCTCCGAAGCTTAAAAACCCAACAAAAATTCGATATTTTGAAGATAGAAGGGGAAGAACAGAAAAATCCTTTAAGGAAATTTCCATATTTTAGGATTCTTGATTTTACCCACTACTTACGTTTTCCTTCTTCTCTGGTTTATTATCTATCTTTTGCTTTTCCTGTACGTTTTCTAATCCCCCTTGGATTAATCTCAAATTGGGTTTGTTTAAGCTCTGAAAGTGGTGAATTTGGATACTTTAAAGGAGACTTCTTTTATAAATCTAGATTGAATTTGAGGGTAATCGAAGTTTTTTATCACATCGATCCCATGGTTCAGTTTTGTAACTGAAAAACTGTTTTTATTGGATGTATCTTGGGTTTACCGAAGAAAAGGATCGGCTTGTGAACTTGTCTGGCTTTCATCTGGATGTTCTCTGGCCATTGAAATTACCCTTTGAAAAGAAATCATTTTGCTTTTGTATTCCAAGAGATAGATGGGATAAAGAATTCTTCAAGCTTCAAGGTGGGTGATTATAATTTGACGGATTCATTGATTTTGGTAATATAATCGGTTTGGGTTTGGGTGTTTTTGAGATGGGTTCTCCTCAAGGCTCCACGTTAAAGACGAATATGGCCGACTTTGTCGAAGGTTCGACCGCTCGCAGTGATGTTTCCTTGATTGATTGTTTACCTGTTTATGTCAAAGAGCTAATAGCTGGTGGCGTTGCTGGTGCCATTGCTAAAACTACCATTGCACCTTTAGAAAGGATCAAAATACTCTTGCAGGTGAGTGCTAACTGATATAATCTATCACCTATGTATATGTATATGTATATGTATATGTATATGTATATGTATATGTATATGTATATGTATATGTATATGTATATGTATATGTATATGTATATGTATATGTATATGTATATGTATATGTATATGTATATGTATATGTATATGTATATGTATATGTATATGTATATGTATATGTATATGTATGTATATGTATATGTATATGTATATGTATATGTATATGTATATGTATATGTATATGTATATGTATATGTATATGTATATGTATATGTATATGTATATGTATATGTATATGTATATGTATATGTATATGTATATGTATATGTATATGTATATGTATATGTATTGTATATGTATATGTATATGTATATGTATGTATATGTATATGTATATGTATATGTATATGTATATGTATATGTATATGTATATGTATATGCATATGTATATGCATATGTATATGTATATGTATATGTATATATATGCATTTATATATGTGTGTGTTTGTTTATGTTTATGTATATGTATGTGTTTATGTTTATGTATATGTATGTGTTTATGCAAATGTATGCATTTATATATATTATGTGTTTATATATATATGTTGCTCTGGTACTTGCTTCTTGTTTGTCATGCATTCGTTGTTGCTTACAATTGAGTGTAAATTCTTTATTGTACAGACAAGGACTGATGGTTTCCAATCTCTTGGGGTGTATCAATCCTTGAGGAAAGTACTAAAGCATGAAGGTGTTATGGGGTTTTATAAGTAAGTTTACAGATTATTTCACCATCCCCCCCCCCCTCTCTGCCCTTCCTTAAGCATAAAGGAAAGTACTAATTGCCTATTTGAACCTGCAGAGGAAACGGGGCGAGTGTTATTCGGATCATTCCTTATGCAGCCTTACATTTCATGACTTACGAGCAGTATCGAGGTTGGATGTTAGATAACTGTACTTTCTTTGGATCAGGACCTGTTGTAGATCTGTTAGCTGGCTCTGCTTCTGGAGGAACAGCGGTGTTGTGCACTTATCCGTTGGACTTGGCTCGCACAAAACTTGCCTATCAGGTTGGAAGTTTTTCCATGAGAATACCATAATTATTACATCATGAAATTGCTGATTCTGGTTGTGGATTTGAATTACTAAATCATCCATGCCATTAGTCCCTTAAAGAATTTTATCTTTCTCATTTAACTTTTACGGTTTAACAGGTTGTTGACACTAGGACAAAACTCAATTCTGGTATGAAAAGTTTATATCCTCGACCTGCATATAGTGGCATAAGAGATGTACTGACAAGTGTTTACAGAGAAGGGGGATTACGTGGACTATATCGAGGTGTAGGTATGTAGGCAGTTGGTTTTTAGATTTTCATTAGTTCAGCATGTAATCTTGAAATTCTTTTATTATAGCTGCTTCGATTTACCCTTAATTTTTCATTTCTAGATATGCTTGGACTTGATGAAACTTTTTGCTTACATAGGTCCAACACTGGCCGGGATCCTACCTTACGCCGGTTTAAAGTTCTACATTTATGAGGTAATAAAGACGCATGTTCCCGAAGAACAACAGAAGTCCATCGTGATGAATCTTTCTTGCGGAGCGATGGCTGGATTACTTGGGCAGACCTTCACATACCCATTAGATGTCGTAAGGAGACAGATGCAGGTATTGTGCTGTAAGCTGGTTACATAACCTGGTTTTGAATCAGCCTGATTCAACCTGATATATTTTCTGTAGTGTTTTCTTGATAACGTCAACACGATTGGAACACCCGAGAAGTAATTTTTTGAAATGTTGCCCTACAGGTTGGAAGTCTTCAGTCTTCAACGATTCCAGGTGACGCAAGATTTAGAAACACATACGATGGGCTTACTACTATCGTCCATAATCAAGGATGGAGACAATTGTTTGCAGGATTGAGCATTAATTACATCAAGGTATTTTATATACTCAGCAATCATATCAAACATATCTGCTACTTTTCATCCTAACAGTTAGGATTTGGTTGTCAGATTGTTCCTTCGGTGGCGATTGGATTTGCGGCGTACGATATGATGAAGGTGTGGCTTCGGATTCCACCCCGACAGAAATCGCAGATGGCATCATCTGGATAAACAGAGATGGATTTATAATGGGCTCAACAGAAATTCCAAAAAAGAAAAAAAGGAACTTTGGCAACAAGAAAACTAGTTTTATATACTTTTGATTTTGGGATGCCATATAAAATACCTTGTTTCTCACTTTTTTCCAGAAAATTAAATACATGCATGTTTTTTCATGATCAATATGGTTGGCCATAGTATGGTTCTTGCATCACAATCACAGTCATACATAGGTTTACAAGGTCAAAAAGCACTGTCTAAGGCCCCCTTGAATTGATAAAGATGTGTGTGTACACATGATACATGAATTGATAAAGATGTGTGTGTGCACACATGATACATGAATTGATAAAGATGTGTGTGTGCACACATGATACAATATGTGTTTATATATATATATATATATATATATGTAGAAGTTAGAGTTTTATATTAATAATTTTATATTTATTTAATAGTATTAAATTAGGAGTGTAAATGAATAAAATATTTGATGAACTGTTCGATTGTTAAGTTAAATGGGTATGAATAAAATCTTTATGTCCATTTAATAAATGAACACAAAGGTTGTATTTTGTTTTGTTTATGTTCTCGTTTAATAACTCTTTTACAAATTTGTTTATTTGTTTCTTTTTTTCATTTATTTTGTTTGTATTTTAAATATCAATGACTATAGAGACAAAAATGAACATAGAATCAACTTTGAATCTCATACTTAAATTTGAAGCTATAAGAGTTTAAGTAGCGGAGATCAAAGGTCCAATGGCAACATCAAAACCAACAGATTCAAAGGCCATCACGGCGGGTCTACATCTTGTGATCGAAGCTGAATGGCCAAATGTCGTTATTGGAAATGATGCATCGAACTTGGTTCACCGTCTTGTGTCCAGCAGCCAAGACTTATCTCTGCGAGACAATGCTTGCGCTATCACCAGCATATCCAGGTACGCTGCATTCGTGGACAAGCAAACTCTGATCTGGCTCAAGCAGCTGTTTCTGGTCGATCAGCTAGTTATTTCGAATATGTTTGCTGGGATTGTAACTATGGATGCTATTAATGGTCAATGAAAGATGCCTTTTGCTCAGAAAGAAGAAAAAAAAGGCCATGGGTTTGTTTTGAAAGTGGACTATTTGTGTTGGTCCTCGCTATGGGTGTGTTAGAGACTACCCGATCCCGATAGAGTTGCAATCGAAGGATATGGAACAAGTGAACCTCAATAGCCATGGTCGCATTGGAAACTCCGGTCCAATGAGAGGAAAGTACTCTTTTACACTCAAGAGCTGACAGATGATGACATCAACGGGCCGCACCAACTGACTTGTCACTATCACATCAGGTGCGTCACCTTTCAATCAATTAACGAACTCCTCTTCTTTGTTAAAAACAAAAATACATGAGTTATATAACATAATACATAAACAAATGATGTAAATAAGCAAGTCTGCTCACTGTTGTTTTGATTTTGTTGCTTTTAATTATTAAATTTTCTAAATGTATATTTTAATAAATTTTATTATTAATTTGTTATGATTTGATTACTGAACCATTAACCTTTATTATTTTTTATGACTACATGTTAGAAATAATTAATTTTTATTTTACCTTTTAAATTTTAAATAAAAATATCAGTTTAATTTTGAGTTATATTATTTAACGTAAATAATTAATGTATAATAATCACAAGTAATTTTTTTCTCCAACCTCATCTTTCTCTTTTCTTTTTCATTTTTGGATGAGGAACGGTAGCACCAGTCTTAGGTAGTGTTTGTATTTGTAGAGGTAAAAGGTCTGCAGTCTACGGACCACATCTGCAGCAGAAGAGGTGGACCAAAAGTCTACAGTCTGCAAGAAGAAGACTGTTTGTTTTTTAACGTATGCAGACTGCTAAAATAAACTGAAATATAGATAAACTGATATTTTAATAAATTTAATAAGTATTTTATAATTTTTGACGAAAATCTAATATACTTTATTTGAAAAAATATATTAAATAAATATTATACGAATTTTATTATTATAAATTATTACATCTACGGACTATTAGATTTTGGTTTTAATATTATATATCATTTTAAAAATTATTATTAAATCAATCGATAATGAAATCAATTAGATTTTAATTCAATATGTTTGTTTCGGTTTAAGTAAATGTTAAAAAATTATATTTTAATTCTAAATTATTATCGATTCACAAATATATCAATACTTGATTTTATAATATCATTTAAATCATCTTAATTTATTCGAGTGGTACAATCCGATTCTAGTAACATTAAAAATATATATAATATATACTCCATATAATATACGTCAATTAGTATTTTCTATTTAGAAAAAAATATATTATTTGTTATTTATTTATTTATTCTGTATAAAGGGACTTTCGTGCTTTACCAGAATTAAATAATAAGAATAAGATTTTTTACTAAGTTTAATATATTTTTTCAAATAAAGTATATTAGATATCGTTGAGTTATATACAAATGATTATTTTCGTCAATAAAATTTAAAAAAATTTAAAATACTTATTAAATTTATTAAAAGATTATAAAATTATTAATAAATTTATCTAAATACTATAAAATAATTATTATAGTATCGAACTTTTATAATTTATTACAACATTATAGTGACTATTTTGTAATAATTCATTAAATTTAATGACATTTTATAATTTTACCAAAATTAATAGCTAAAATTGGTCCTTGAACAGGTTCGAAGACATCTGCAGACATAAGTCAACGTCTGCGTCGCGCATACTACGCGCAGACGTTAGAAGAGCTTCTGTATTCTAAAAAACAAACAGTCTGCGAAGCCCAATGTCTGCGCGTGGTCTGCGCGGCACAGACATAAGAGCTTTACAAACCTTAAACAGTGAAAACAAACACCACCTTAGTGTTAGTTGTTGGCATCAATATTTTTTTATGAGAAAATCGCCTCAGTGACCAAAAATGCCTTATAATATACGATTTTAACTAAATTTTTTTGGATTTGCCAAAATGACCAACAAAATCGCAATATGATCTCTAATTCGCAACGCGATTTTCAGTATCGCAAATTCGTCGCGTTGCGATAGTTGAAAATCGCGTTGCAATAGTCTACAGTGTCATTGCGATTTTCCATTTCGCGTTGCGATAGTCTACAGTGTCGTTGCGATTTTCCATTTCGCGTTGCGATAGTCTACAGTGTCGTTGCGATTTTCCATCTCGCGTTGCGACAGTGTACAGTGTCGTTGCGTAGTTTCGTTGCGACATCTCGTGTTGCGATAGTGTACAGTGTCGTTGCGATTTTCCATTTCGCGTTGCGATAGTCTACAGTGTCATTGCGATTTTCCATTTCGCGTTGCGATAGTCTACAGTGTCGTTGCGATTTTCCATCTCGCGTTGCGACAGTGTACAGTGTCGTTGCACAGTGTCGTTGCGATTTTCCATCTCGCGTTGCGATAGATTACAGTGTCGTTGCGATTTTCCAAATTCGTTGCGATAGTCTACAGTAAATTAAAAAATGATTTTGTTTCTCTAAAAAGATAATATCCGCGCGGACGTGTCGATGACACGTATGACCACGACCACGACCACGCCCACGACCACGAGACGAGACGGCGGCGGCGGTGGCGGCGCGCGAGAGTCCCCCTTGTTCTCTTTCACTCAACAAGGAAATGGGAAATACAAGCCTTAAATACACTTCCCAATAGTATTTCAAATACTATGTGAGATTGAGCATTACTTTACACTTCAAAGAAAATATATCAATTTTTGTAGCATGTTTCCTACTTAATCCATATCTAAAAATATTAAAACATTTCATCATATTAAAACTATATGTATAAGTTTGAATTGAAATGTAGATATCTACAACTCTTTTAATTCTCTTGATAAAATGATAAAATGTTTTAGATATGGATTAAGTGGGAAACATGCTACAAAAATTGCTATATTTTCTTTGAAGTGCTGAGTAATGCTCAATCCCACATAGTATTGGAAACACTATTGGGAAGTGTATTTAAGGCTTGGATTTCTCATTTCCTTGTTGAGTGAAAGAGAACAAGGGAGACTCTCGCGCGTCGCCGCCGCCGTTGTCTCGTCTCGGGTCGGGTCGTGGTCGTGGTCGTGGTAATGGTAATGGTAATACGTGTCTTCGACACGTCCGCGCGGATACTATCTTTTTAGAGAAAATTCTTAAGAAACAAAAACAAAATCTTTTTTTAATTTACTGTAGACTACCGCAACGAATTTGGAAAATCGCAACGACACTGTACACTATCGCAACGCGAAATGGAAAATCGCAACGACACTGTACACTACCGCAACGCGAAATGGAATATCGCAACGCGATTTTCAACTATCGCAACGCGAAATGAAAAATCGCAACTCAAAATGGAAAATCGCAACGCGATTTTTAATTATCGCAACGCGAAATGGAAAATCGCAACGCGAATTTGCGATGCGAATTTGCGATACTGGAGATCGCGTTGCGAATTAGAGATCGCATTGCGATTTTGTTGGTCATTTTGGCAAATCCAAAAAAAGTTGATTAAAATCGTATATTATAAGGTATTTTTGGTCACTGAGACGATTTTATCTTTTTTTATTTTCTTATCTCGCATATTTATTTTTCTTTTGTCTTTAAAAATTATGCTTTCATGACATATTTTTTGTATTTATGACAAGTTATTGTTTCCTGCTTTTTAATATGTTTATTGGTTTTTTTCGATTGTTTGACCGTTCTTGTCATTTATTCTTTTTTTAAGATTAGATTTGACATGATCACGACTTATCAAGACGATGTTCATTTGTTATCCCGCTGATCTTTTTCTGTTTTCTCACGATGTTTAGTTATGATTTTCATTTTATCGGTAGTCTTTAAATAGTTTAATTTTTTTATCATGATTCATTTGCCGTAGCAATCAAATATTTTTGTATTTATCTATTGTTTAAGTTTTTTAGATGAGTTTTTCACATTTTCCTTATTCGGTTCTTATATAATCTTAAGTGACTATTTTTTGTCTTAATTATTATGAAAGACTACCCTAATTATGTCCTAATTGTAAACCATTATTATAGTTTTAAATATTTTTTTTTATTTTTTTTGTAAAATTAGCTGCTACTATTTTTTTAAATAAAGTATAATAATTATATTATTTGAATATTCTCTCATGCTCCTACAAGCTTAGACTAGCTAGCTAGGGTATTGCTAAACTTTTTGTTCCACTTTCTTGTCTGTTGCCCATATTATATGATTAGTGGATGTGTATAAACATACGGGCAAGGCATGGCAAGCAAGTGGCAGCCCTTAAAGGATTTTCCGTCCATCGACAATGGCTGGTGAGGTTAAGCATGACGAAAACTTCCTTCTGATTTGATGTTTGGACTCCACCCTCCTGCATGGTGGCCACGACTGCCACTTCTAAGTTTCATCTACAAAAATTCACTAATTAATCCGTAATCTTGTAAATTATTATTATTATACTATTGAAGAAACAATATCGTAAAATAAATACTCCATATATATGATGAATTATAAAAAATTACAAATGAAATATATATATAGAGAGAGAGACAATAATTCACGCATTCTTTCAACACAATCAAATCAAATGTCCACTATATATAATATAAACCGCTTTTGCTTTTGAATCTTGTAAACTCTAATCAGAACTTGGACTTTGGTTCCTTTCGGCTACCAGAACAGTTGAAAGGCAACACTGGATGGGCCTCTCGTTCTGCACTTATTGTGAACGTAATTTCAACACACGAAAAGGTTTTCATTATGCTTCAAGTGGAAAGTAACAGTGGCCAGCTGATTGAGACATTATACTATCACGTCTTCCCCTCCTCATTAATGTGAACAAAAACACGACCCCAAACAAGTTCTGATGATAAAACTCCAACTCTTTCACCAATTCAAAAATTGTTTTTAAATGAGTTTCTTTCCTTATATTTTACTTAATTCGATTTTAATTTTTTTAGATCGTTGATAAAAATAAATAAATTACGCCGGTTATTAATTATAAAATAACTATTGATCAGTGTCAAGGTTATATATCCTATTAAGAAGTAGGGAATGGATAAATGAAGAAGAAAGTTATACTTCGAGAACTTTTTTCAAATTTGTTTTTACGAAAAAAATTTCGAAATCCTAATACGTAGAAAAAAAAATACTAAGATGCAGATCAATCCCAACAAAATGTACAGCAAAAATGATCCAAACTAAATACAACTATAACAACTTGACATAAGTGTCGGATCTAAAAATTAAAAATTGAGAGTCTAAAATTTTAATATCCAAATTTAAAAAAATTTGGTAAATAATTTTTATTTTTATTAATAAATTAAAATAAATTTAACGCTTTTTTAAAATAATGGGGTACATTAACTTCCATCAGTCATATACATCCTCCCCTGCTTGACACTTACCAACCAGGAAGACATCATCTCCAGCGACCACCATCAATGATGCAGCTCTTTTAACGGGACTACCAACTTCGATGGGTGGGAGCGGGACCCGATTCTTCATCACCAACAGTTTCGAACAGCTTATAATCCACGTGGGCCCCTTCGAGGGACTCCATTTTAGACTCCAAAAGGGTTGATAGGTCCCACATTTTGTCCTCCGCCAAGTAAGGCCCACAATCTCCATGCCTGAAGGAAGGTGTGAAGGAGCTTCCACGTGGCAATATGAAAAATCGATGAACCTTAATTCAGGTCCGATTAGGGATGGCAATGGGTCGGGTCGGGTCGGGTCGGGTTTTTGGGCCACCCGACCCGACCCGAGAAGAAAGGGTTCTCCACCCGTGACCCGATCCGACCCGACAAAATTAATGTTTCACCCGACCCGACCCGACCCGAATATATGACTTAGAAACCCGACCCGACCCGAAATAAAAAAAATTTAATTCAATAAAAACAGTGACTTAATTGAAAAAAATTATATATGGAGGGATATTATTGTAATTATCCCTAAATATATAAGATAAAATTATATATATTTTTCGAGTCGGGTCGGGTCGGATTTTTTTACCCTAAACCCGACCCGAACCCGATTTTTTTTTTAAAAATCCGACCCGATCGGGTCGGATCGGGTCGGAACCCGTCAGATTCGGGTTGAGTTGCCATCCCTAAGTCCAATGATTATCTCATTGAAAGTGGGGTCCACTGTTCCACCTTCGCCTCCATAGTGATCCTCCATGTCAGCTCTCATTTTCCAATTAAAATATTTTATATTTTAGGCTTAAGTGTTATTTTTGTTTCTTAATTTATAAATTATGCCTCTATTGTATTTTCAGATTAATTTAATCATTAAAGTTGTTTAGATACATCATTCTAGTCTTCAAATTCCGTTGACCGTTTTGACTAATAGAATCATTAGAAAGATTAGAAAAAATATTTACTAAATAAAAAGTTAGAAAAAATTCTCAAAAGTTTATAATTTATTTCAGTGGGATTAAATGATTAGATTAACATTTTAGAGATTTTTTAACCGTTGTATTTAGTAAATATTTCAAATATTTTATTATTTATTTTTTAATAAATGTCGTGTCATCATCTAAATTGCTTTTATATACAAAAAATGCCTAACGTGGAAATTGATGACGTCCACATACGTAGAAGACTAACAGTTATGTTAATCAAAATAAACTTCGAAGGTTAGGATGATGCCCCTAAACAATTTCGAAGGCTAAATTGATGCGAAAATATCATAGGAGCAAAAATGATAAATTAAGTCTACTATAGGGTCAAAAATAACCCTCAAACATATATTTTACTATAGAAAATTTTATTAAAATTCTTACAATGTTAATTGTGATTGTAATTTTTCAAAAGAGAAATTTAAAAAAGGTTATTAATAATTAACAAGTATTAAGTGCAATAATAAGATAAATCAGAATGGAGATAAAGAAGAAAAGAATATATATATAAATAAGTAATGAGACCTTGACTTAACTATACATTTTTAGTGTATTTAAATAAATAAATAAATATATATATATATATATATATATAATTGTAACGGATATGACGAGTAAATAACCATAAACTTATGAAGAAGAAAGATAATAATTCACATATTTATGTTGAAAAAAAATCTAAAAGGAAAAAATTATGGGTAGATAAAAAGAATTTCACTGTAGTCGGTAATAAATTACAATAAATTTATGAGATTACTTCAAATCCTATATATATATATATATATTATACATATATATATATAGTTAACAAGATTGTATCATATCAATACGAGAGCATTTGTATCCATTATAAATCTCAATGTCGTCTCCTATTTTATTTCTTCACCAAATGGATCATATTACAAATTTTTTAGATCGAATAAAACATAATTTAAGTCACAAATTCTAACATCACTATTATTTGACAAGGATTATTAAAAATAATTCAAAAAAGTTGAATATGATTTTCGTCCATAAACTATTATGATCTTGGGTTCTGATATATATATTTAAAATTTAATCCTTCTACTATCTATTATTTATAATTTAAAATTTTAAGTTTTTAGTTTTTTTTATATATATATTATGATTTCCTAAGTTCTCCTTGAAAAACCCATGATCCCAAGTCAATATAGATCAGTACTTTATGATGTAAGCAAGCGTTGCCCTCTTCCCTCTTAAATATTTAACCTTCATTGACACTCCATTACCATAAACCACAATTAAAAAGAAAAACACTTGCTTTAGTAACGTTGGTGCAGCTTAAATCCACCAACACCATGAGTAGTCCCACCAGCTGTGGCGGCGGCGGCCTTTCGATAGATGAGGAGGAGACAGCGGAGACACGGATCAGGAGGCTGATATCGGAGCACCCACTCATAATCTTCAGCCGATCATCTTGCTGCATGTGCCATGTCATGAAGAAGCTATTGGCCACAATCGGTGTTCACCCTACTGTAATCGAACTCGATGACCACGAGTTCGCTTCCCTCCCTCGACCCTCTTCTCATGGCAGCCTCTCCTCCCGGAATCTCGCACCAGCCATCTTCATTGGCGGAACCTGCATCGGTGGACTCGAATCCCTCGTCGCTCTCCACCTTAGTGGCCACCTCGTCCCGAAGCTCGTCGAAGTTGGCGTTCTCTGGGTATGATATATATATATGTGTGTGTGGAAGTTCTTTCTATCAAATACTCGTGTTCTTTCATTCCCTATTAGTATGTACGCATGTATGTATCAGCTTTCCATGAGGTAAACTGGAAGAAGTAAGTAATGAAACAAACAAGCAATCATGTCGTTTTGGCTCATGGATATCCACAAGAATAAACCAGACATGGGAACAAGGATGCTGATATGAAAGGGGAAACTGCTTGAACTCGCTTTATCCCTACCCCAAAGACAACTATGAACAAAAAAACACAAATTCCATAATAACATCGAACATAAAATCAAGCAGAAACTTACTCTATCATTCATCAAGTAAAACCATGGCCTGTGTCGCCGATGTTTCGGGATGAAATGCGGTAAAAGAATCATCATCTAGTACATGGCATGAATCTCATTCTACTCTAATCCTTTCTGTTCAACAAGAGGACAGTCAAAAGTATTGCTTCCGATTCTACAAAACACCCCAATCCATGAATTTCTTCACCTCATCATACAGAACTAAGATGGCTGCGGCACCAGTACTCCTAAAAATGTTAGAAAGTGCTCCGCGGTGAAAAGACGTCACCCCTTCTGTTCTATAAATCGTCCTCCAGCAATCCAGAGTGCTACGGTACATCGGTTGTTCTAAACCGGATTGCATCATCATCCTCCTCCGAACTGTATCGAGTGGATACGGCAACAGTCCAGCAGATGTTGTCACAGCCTGTGCAGCCACCCAACGTTTCCATAATGCTAATTCGGTTTTGGATTGTTCCGACAGGGTTTCCTTTATTGTATCGAATCCTCCAAAATACAGACCCCGATGAACAATCATCCCATGTAGGGAAGCAGGAAGACCCCTATATATAAATTCCTCGGAATCCATCTTTTTCGCGTATTATGCTCAGGAAATGGTAGATGCCTCTGAATTGACGAACATTGGTTCTTCCAATGTCTGCAGCAAGACGAGTGTGAGCAATGTCAAGAGGGTAGATCAAAATCAATGTTGTGCAACCAGCTGCAGCTCCGGCGACAAAATTGGCAGATGCTCCAGAAAAAACATGACCATCTCACATCTCCATAATTTCTTAATATGTTTTTTTTATATGTTGTAAAAAAAATATGTTTTTATACAGGTCCTACATCAAGAGATGCAAGGTGAGTAAAATGATAAGATAACTACATGAAGATGCTGTAAGTTTACTCGGAATCCGACACCTTCGATAGGCAAGATAACCGCATTAATCTATCACCGGTAACAGAATTTATGGACAAGAAGATCAGCATGACCGGCATTAATTACCATTCAAACATAACAAACCAGTATACCAACATCCCATGTAATGAAAAAAACATCACAGGATCTCAAAGAAACCTTTTATCTTCATTTCACGTGCATGGAATATCTCCTCAAGAACGTTACCAACCAATCTAAATATCCAAGAAAAAAAATCACAGGTTCCATTTCACTTCATACCATGAATCAATGAAAAGAAAGGGAAATGATGCTAAATTTGAGAATAAAAAAATGTATTACCTCGAGGGAGAAATTAAGAGCAACAGAAGGGTAGTATCTGAGAACGCTACTCCCATTGCCTCTCCATACAGAAAGAATGCCTTCTTCTCTAACGGTACGCACAATACAATCAAGCATCCTTTTGAATTTCCTCCTCACTAAAGCCAAATTGCTGTCTTGGGTCTGAAGCAACAACTTCGCCCTCTCAATCGGTGCCACAATCGTGTGCACCACGCAGCCCATCACCGCTCCAGCCAACAGATCACGGTGGAAGCTCGCCAGCCATTCATACGGCCTCGACGTCGGTTTCAACCCTCGTCCTCCCCTGTTTTCTACTTCTTCTTTACTCATTACTTAGAAAGACCTTTTTTCCTCTCATCTACGAGTGTGTTCCCAACCAAAGGAAAATAATGAAATCTGTACTAGGCGGATAGTGTTGTTTGATCAGAGGGAACTTAGGTTTTCTGCTTTCTTTTATACAATGTTTCTCTTTTTTTTTGGTAATTGAGATTAAGATTCCTCATTTGCATTGATTAAGGCTCAACAAACTGTTTAGCTTTTGCCAAGTGTTACCTTAATCCTCTTATTTATGCAAAAGGTGACTGAAAATGGTTAAAAGGGAAGTGTCATTATTGAATGAATATAGGTAGGCTTGGCTATCAATGGCCAACTTGGGGGTAAGCTCTAGCAATGATGCATGCTCTTCCTTCCCCACCGAAGCTTTCCGCCATCGAATGATCTATCTGCAATTTCAGTATCCGAATGCATCAATTGGAGGGGGGGGGGGGGAACTTGGAAATGTTCTTAATTTAGTGTTAGAAGTGGATGTAACATTGTTAGTCGAATAAAATTATTTACAAATTATATTTTTCTATTATTTTTTTACTCATCAATTTGTTTAAAAAACTTTTTCGAAATCTCTAAAGTTACATATCCTTGAGTCTGATATCAATTCATCGATGTGATCTTTAATAGGTTTACATGATATGTCAGTCAATTTTTTCTTTACGGCTATGTTCATTTGTCTTGGAATTAACATATAAATCCTCGTACAAGATTGAGAATGACATCAAAAGACTTTTTTTCTCATTGAAACTCTATCCTTCTTAACTCATTTCGTTTCTCCTTTGTAAAATCAATCAACTACAATTCTCCATTAAAAATGAATGAATTGTCTACTATCATCACAATTACATTTTATCATTAACGAATATACGAGGCTCCTCAAAGAAATTTTCTCATAAAAAGAGTTTATATAAAAAATAATTCCATAATTTTTTTAATATTTTTTTAAAATACTCGATCTGATCATTGCATATGAATACAACAATCCTTACTTTCGAAAATCAAGAGAAGATTGCAGTTTGCTCTATTGAGTCTTTCAAAGAAAAGGTCAAATACCTTTAATGGTTCAATTTATATATATAGAGAGAGATAATTTTCACTTACACTACGTAAAACTAGTAAGTTTTACATTAATTTATAGTTATTAAATTTAAATAAATGAATTAAATTTGATTAAAATTTATAACCCTTAAACAAATATTTCTTTATCTCGTAGTATAACAATATATTGGGTAAAGTATAGTAATGGTCACTGAACATTTTTGAAGCTTGCATTTAGGTCCCTTAACTTTTAAAACTTGCAATACAGTCCCCCAACATTTATTCTGTTTGCAATATGGTCCCCCAACTTAAACCACCGTTAGAAATTAGGGTAAATTATATAAAAGGTTATTGAACTTTTCAGACACTTGAATTTAGGTCCCCCAACTTTTAAAACTTGCAAAACAGTCCTCAATTTCATTCTAAACCCCAATTTCCAAAGTAATTTAATTTCATTCTAAACCCTAAATTCCAAAACAAATCAATTAAATTCAATTATGTCATATTTATTATTATTTAATTTCATCTTATTTCATGTGATACGTATTTTTTATATAAATATAATAGTATAATTCTTATATGTTGAAGAAATTTTTTAATTAAAAAAAGTAGTTAGGATATAGAAGAGGTTGAAAATAATTCGAATTTTAAATTTATAAAATGTTATTTTGACGTATAAATAAAAGTGTAAACTACTAGGTTGACAACTTAACTATCTAGCCCTTTTTACTTTTGTCATCGATCTTTTAAATTTATCAATCATACAACATAATTATTTAACTGTTTCAACTAAGCCACTAGTCGTTACCAATTGATACAAATGATGGAGTGGCAGTTAAAAGGAATTGACATTATTATACATTCAGTCTTTATTATTTATATAATCAATTTGGTCCTAAATTAAATAGAATTTAATAAATTAATCATTTAATTAGGATCTGACATGTGTTAGCACATGATCATGACACGTGTCATTGGTGACACATGTCACCACTTAATTATTTATATATGCTATCAATTTGGTCCTAAATTAAATAAAATTTAATAAATTAATCATTTAACCAAGATCTGACATGTGTTAACACATGATCATGATATATGTTATTAGTGACACATGTCACCACCTAATTAGAAGAAAATTAAGTTACAAAGAAGTAAAATTTGGGTCTTGGGCAAACACAAACCTGAGTCACGCAAATAAAAGATACAGGGTGGAGCCACTAAGCTAACACCATCGTTTGTGTTAAGAGATATACAATAATACATATACTAATAGTATGACCAATGCCAAAAAAAAAGAATATAATGGAAAATGGAAATAATGAGATTTGAACTTCGGCAAAAAATTTGAAAGCAATAAATGATGGGAAAATATTATATATTTTTTACAATAAAAAATATTATATTTGATAAATTGTTTGATAGATTTAATATATTTTTTTAAATATTAGTTGATACAATATTTTAAAAGAATAAATTTAATATTTATATATTTTTAAACTAAATTTAATAATTATATTTTTCATATTTATAATTCATGATTATATATATAATCTTAAGTTGAGTATTTCTAATATAATTAATAATTTTAATTTCTTATTAAAAATAAAATATTCAAAAAATATAAATGATTCATACATTAATATATGAATATATTTTTTTATTTATACATCTAAATATAAATATACATTTATATAAATATATTTTTATTCGTATATTGAAATATTTTGATTAAAATATAAACATATTTTAAATACTAGTTTATACAAGAAAAATAAAATATATCAAAAATATAAATGATTCATACATTTAAATATAAATTGAATCATTTATATTTTCTATACATCTATATTTAATAAGAAAATAAAATTATTGGGGGACTGTTTTGCAAGTTTTAAAAGTTGGGGACCTAAATTCAAGTGCCTGAAAAGTTCAATGACCGTTTATATAATTTACCCTAATTTTTTAACAGTGATTTAAGTTGGGAGACCATATTGCAAACGGAATAAATGTTGGGGGACTGTATTGCAAGTTTTAAAAGTTGGGGGACCTAAAGGCAAGCTTCAGAAATGTTCAGTGACCATTACTATACTTTACCCTAATATATTTTTTACCCCAAACCTCAAACTCCAAACCCTAAATCATATACTCTAAATCTTAAATCTTAAACCCTAAACCTTAACTCTAAAAAGGAAAAATATTATTTTACCGTGATTTAAAGAAATATTTATATGTGGTTATAAATTTTAATTAAGTATACATTTATTTGAATCTAATAACTATAAATTAGTTTTAAACTTATTAGTATTACATAGTATAAGTGGATCATAACCCATATATATATTATTTTTATTGTGATTAAGGAGCATAAACTTAGAACGAAATAAGAATTAAAAAATAAAAAGATTAGAAAATAAATTATAAAAATGATATAATTATAATATTTAATTTTATAATTATTAAAACATTTAAAAAATAAATAAATTTAGAATTTAAATTGACTTTTTTTGCTACAAATCAAATTTTCAATCCAATGAAATTTTGCTCACCAATATATATTGCAATAACAACAAAAGCCCAAAACTCTCCATCAAGCCCAAATATTTGAAATTTTAAACTCTTTTTAATTATTTTCCCCGGAAATTTAAAATTGGGAAGCGAGTCTATAAAGCAAAGTTGCGCGCGAGAGTTCGTCTTTGTTTGGCTCTCTCTCTCTCTCAAATGGATTTTTCTTCAGTTCAGAAGCTCTGCATTCACGTAAGTTGCAATTTCAATCTTCAAATTAGGTTTCATTGATAATATAATTTTCTGTTCATCCATCCTAATCCCGTATTATTTTTTCATTGTTTTGGCAGCTAATTTCTTCGGCATATCAAAGATGCCGTTTATCCGAAGATCTTTGCCGATTATCAGTTGTTCTCGAGAGCAATCTAGGTACTCCTATCGCTCGAGTTTCAAGTGAGCACTTCCTTTTCACTATTCGTTTAGTTTTTGCCTGATTCTGATGCTAATTATTTGCTTTGATTTATTTTTTGATGCCATCCTTCATAAAAATAGAGAAATATATCTGAATTGTAAAAGTATGCACTGGAATCATGTCATTTTTAAGTTGAAACGTCTTAGTTTTAATTCAGATGAATTCATAAAAAGCACAAATAAGCTTTTGAAAATGATGAGGTTTTACTAGGTGAATCCGTAAATATATTATTGTAACAGAGTTTTGGTTAAAATGATAAGAGTTTTTTTTTTAAAAAAAGGATATATTTATTTTGTTATCTTAATGAGCAGTATCAGATACTGGCACTGGTAGTTGCTTGGAGGAGTTTCAGGACCTTAAGTGCAGTAGAGAAGGTATTGGAACGGAGACGTGGGGTAAGTGGATGATGATGGTTAGTTCATTTGAGTCTAGATATTAAGATCTGGATTCATATTTGTGTTTCATGATTATTTGACTTTGTTTTTCCGCAGATGGGTTGCTTTCTGTCAAAACTACGGGTAAGTTTTCGTATCTCGGTATTCTTTTTCTTGGTGAAGAATCCATGGTTGAATGGCTTAGATTTTGACTCTAATAATGGGAACGGGGAGTTAGAACTAGGGAGCTCCTTTTGGGAGTACTAATGTGGTTTTAACTAAGCTATGCATAATGTCTTAGTCCTGTTGTGAGCTGCTGAAGATGTAGGTGATCATACAGATACAGTTGCAACTCTGCTTCAAGTTTACTATGTTTATAATATGTGTTTAGTTATCTGAACTTTACATCATTCATTTGGATTAACTACCATAGTGCCCGAGTTGAAAGTGCTGTCAAAAGCATGCTTCTTTTATTTTTATTTTGTTTCAATTTTTGTCCATTTGTTCTTCAATTTGTGTATATTAAACATTACATGTCCATGTTGGTAGTTATTTTGTTTTCATCCTATATAACACTCATATACATGTGAATGAATGTATTTAATGAATTCAAATTTGTGTCTGAGGCTGCAGACATGAGTGATAATAAGATATATCATTATCACTTAAATCTTAGAGAAAGTGTTTCTTCCAGAAGACTCACTAGGCTGCCTTCAATTCCTAAGAATGATGCAAAGTTCAGGCAAGTACCATAGTTAAACATTTTTTCTGATCTTAGGTTATATAGAACGTTATGATTGCATGTCTTTGTTTTCAGCGGCACTGAAGTATGTCTGTCCATTTCTGACACCATTGATGCCTTGCTCACAGAGATCAAACGTTTCTTTCAAAAGGTTTGCTTTTGAGCATTTGGCTGAGTTTTTGAATGACATTATTCACAGATTTTCTCAAATACACCTGCTGATTTTTTTTCTGTGTATTTGGTTTGGCTGTGGATTCTATTGCCGCTTTAGCATACACTGCATCCTTCAAAAACTATAGCTGATCCTATTATAATTTTGGAAATCTAGGACTATGTTTGTTTCTTGGCAATAAGCTTAATTACTTGAATCAACCTATATATAATCTATTAGAAACAAAGAACCATAACTTTGCAGATAAATCAATAAAGTAACTAAGGTGATGTCAAAATATCACCATTGCAACTGTATTGCCATTTTTCTAGGGAACCATTTCAGAAACCTCTTCAGCAACACTTGAGGATCTCACCACGGGTGCAAGAAATGATTGTTGGCATTGATAAGCAATATGCAACTAGCTAGTTGAATAAGGCAATAACAGACAACTAATCAGGTTTTTATTCTAAAACTGATTTGGAAAAGGTTCTGTAGGAGAATGTCATTGTATCTTGACCTAGGAAGTTTCCACTAAAGTGTCTTCTCATGATATCATGGATCATGGAGTATTGTGCATTTCCATTTTACTTTTATGGATTTCATTGTCTGCTTCCTGTCTCCTTTCTTGTCCTCTTATTCTCCTCTCCATTTACGGAGTCCATATGTCTCTTGGTTTTGCAGATGCTCATTCTAATGATCCCTGTAAGTTCAACCGCTACTTTGATTCCTTATAATCTGTACACAGAATGTCTGGTCCAAATTCTGTATTTTAAGGGGACATTTTAAAAGTATCTGAAGGTTTAAGCTTCATTTGAAACTTTGGGTCATGTGGAAACTTGACTGTAAGGAAAGGAAAAGTTTTGAAATGCTAAACGCCAGCTTCTTAAACTAATCTGCAAAATTTCTTTGTTTTCCGAGATGCCATGAAGCTTTCTTGAAATGAAGCTAGGAATGAATTTTCTTTGGTTCAATTGATATCTCCTTGGGAATCATTTATAAAAATTATTTGTATGCCATTGAAAGTTAAATACCGAATACATTTATATTATTTGGTAAGCGGAAATATTGAATTTGGAAAAGTATTTATTTCATGATTTTAACCTTATTAGCATAACATTTCATTTTCATATTATTCTGATAATTCTAGATAAAACTTAGGTGGGAAATTTAAATATGTCATGTTTTTTTAAAAAAATTCTAATTATCTCATTCAGTATTTTATATTGACATTAATATGTTTGTTTGGTTGTAATTGGTTTTCTGGAATTTGAATGACTGTAATTTGAATTATTAGAAAATGAATTACTGTAATTTGAATTCTGGAAAATGAATTACATTTTTGGAAAATGTTTTCCATAAAATAAATTACATTTTTCTGAAAAACATATTGAAAACGTTTTATGATATTTAGAAGATGTTATTTTAATTTTTTTTCCACTAGTTGATGAGTTTTTTTATAATTTATTTATTATTAAATATTATTTTTATAATTTTATTAATAAAAATATTAATATTGGTATATTTTAGTGAAATAAAAATATTATAAATTATATTAATTATTTATTAAAATAATAGTATTATATTATATTTTAAAAATATTAATTAGTATATTTCAAATATCTTTATTAAAATATTATTAGATTATTATATTAATATTAAATATATAAATAATATTATTCATTATTAAATATATAAAAAAATTATTATATATTTATTAAAATAAAAATATAATATCTTATATTATTATAATATAATTGATTATTTTATTATAATATTAAAAATATAATATTATATTATTATAAATATTAATAAATATATTTTAAATATTTTAATAATTAATATTTCGATAAAAATGATATTAAAATATTTTATTAATATTAAATTTATAAAATAAAATTATTTTGAGTATTTATTTTTGAAGTGAAAAGCTCGGAAAATGACTTACGGAAAATTAGACCGTAAGTCATTTTCCAGAAAACACAGAAAATTCTGTTGACCAACTAGTTTTTCTCCAACCAAATCATGAAAAACATTTTTCGGAAAACGAATTACGTGAAACAAACGCAAGAAAACATTTTCCGAAAAACGAATTACATGAAACAAACACGAAATTTCGGGGAAAACCAATTCCGTAATTCATTTTACTGCAAACAAACAGACCCTAACATTTAATGGAGTTGTATTTTATTTTTCAAGTGTGTAGCAGCTGAACTGGTGGTTAAACGAGGGGATGCTCCTGCACTGCTATGTGAAAATGTCTTTTTACCTAATGAATGCAGCCCTTTGAACTTCTCAAGCTCCAATGTTGAAAGATTTAAGTCAGGCCTTGAAGAATATGTTTTGAAGCACGGAAATAGCTTAAACAATAAATGTGATTCTTGCTTCCGCAGTAGGTAAAAATATAAGCTGAATACCCGTTTTTCTGTTTTCAAGCTACTACACATCTGTTGATTTTCGGGTTGGAAAACAAAGTTTTGGAGTGATGTGATGATAATAATGATTTAGGTATACTTGAGATTCTGAATATACATCAATTGAAGGCTATATGTACTACCAGTAATTGCATTCATACATATGATTTACTGCTTATCATGGGGCTACACTCATCCAGGAGTAAGTAAACTAAGGCTCATGTCTTCAATCCCCTTAACAAGTATTGCATCTTTTTCCTTCTAGGGAGCAACTTAAGATCAGTAGTGGAGTAGCTTGCAGCATGGAAAGCCAAAGGGGTCCCGGACTAATTGTGGAAGCAGTAATTGCAATAAGTGAACATGCGGAATCTCCCTGCTTCAGGTCATGCAGCAACAAAGCAGAGGTGTGTATCTAAATGCACCTAAATATTCAAAGCCCCTTTTTATTCTCTTCATTTGCATGATTGCATGTTACAAATAACAGCGAGTAAACGATCGGAAAATAATAAGAAATAAAGATAATGATACACAGATAAGCGTATATACCCAGATTCATCATAGATCCCATTTTTCCTCCCAATTTATTTCTTCACCGAGCGGATGGCACAGCCAACTCTCTGAACTGAGCCAAATGGGATTCGAGTCACAAACACTAACAGCATCAACTTATTTACATATGGTAATCAATTTCTTTTCAGTTGATTTATTTGACAACATTATTTTCCAGGTTTTGCATTTTAAAGATTTCTTACCATGTTCAGTACCCGGTGCATCCCTCAATGCTTTGACTAGCATTGACTGGAGAAGCTATGGGTTAACTTTGGGGAGTGTTGTGGATCAAGATGACCATGCATTGATAGAGTGGGAAAATTTACCCCCTCATCTTCATCTTCACATGGCGATACACTGCTATCATAAACAATATCCAACATCTTGTTTCTATGATTCAATTTCATATTGCTGCCTAGTCTTATTTCTCAAAACGTTGAGTGTTGCATATATTCCTTGACTTGTGTTGCCAAGGTCATTATATATCCAGGGAAATATAAATATCAACCTGATCGGCATCTAATAAAAAAGGCGGTGAAACTTGCATTGGATGATTTCAAGGGGAAATACACAGGGTTTCTTCTCAGTGCTCATGCTGTGAAGGTAAGCATTCATCTCTTTCGAAGTTCTAATGGTTTTACATGCATGTGATTCTCTTGGATTAAATGAGAAAAATATCAAATTTGATTTGCTCATCCTCAAACCGAGCTCGAGCTATTGAATATGGGATGAGATCGAAATCAAGATCATGCTCGAGCTCGAACTTGACTTTAGTATCTAAATTGTATAAACAAGCGTAATTGAGTGGACCTCTAGTAATTTTATTTAATTTTGAGCGAGTTTGAGCTTAGATAATATTATTTGGTCGAACTCAAACCGAGTTTTGAGCAGTAAATGTCGAATCGAGCTAGAATTTGAGTTTCTCCCTGCTCATGCTCGACTCAACTTGATTACAGCCCTATACCAAACCCCATTACACCACATCATTATAAACTTTAACTATTCCTAGTGTTTTTTCCTATTTCTTATTTCGTCCATGGTTTTATAACATGATCCATGACTAAATTGTAAGAAAAAACAGATCACGTAATGGTCACATGTAACCTGTAGTCTTAAAACTTCAGATTTGCAGTTATGCCCCGGACCTTGCAAGCTCAATTGCTGGCATCATCTTGTCATCTAATGATTCGGAGTTCCGAAGCAAATGCGCCTTGCTTCTCGGGTTATTGCAGTCGCAAGAGATCGGAAGGAAAACCATCGAAGACTGTATCAATGGAAAGATAATATCAGTCATCGAGACGAACGATAGAAAGCCTGAGAAAAGCAAAGAGACTGCACCTTTCCTCTTCGAAGATGACCGTCCCCTGGAGCTGGAGCCAATCCCATATTCAGAGGAATACGAAGGAGGCGACGATGTTTTTAGTTTCCCGGATTGATCGATATGATATACATTATCCTCATGCAAAATAACCAATTCCATCCAGGCTCCAGATGATAAAAAGAGTTTAACGAGATGGCGTTGTGAATATTTGTTAACGTAACACTCAATCTCTATGTTCGCACTTTGGAAGCTTAACTAGATGGCATTGTTATCCCTATTCCATTACTGGGGGGGGGGGGGGGGAAACTCTACTAACCATTGGTAAAATACATCATATGTCGTTAAAGTATCCTCGAATGATTTATTTTGATCACTGAATTTTCAAAAGTTATAAAACAATCATTAAGTTTATCTAACATTATAAAACCGTCATTAAATTTTATCAAATTGCTACAAAATAGTTATTAAATTTTTATCTATTATAAAATAATCATTAAATTTATCAAACTCTTTCAATTAGTTTAATAGCATATTGATCATTTTATAACAATTTGATAAATTTAATGATTATTTTATAACTTTTAAAAAATTAATAATCAAAATGATTATTTAAATATAGTAAAACTGCACAATGGAATCCAATTTTCACATAAATTACAAATATGCCATCTTGTTCCAATCATTAGCATTGTTAACTATATCCCACTATGATGAGGGGAGCCTCACAAGAAGCACTAGAATGGCTGGAAATCGATTTCCAATGTGGATTTGAAACAAGCATTGAAAAAAGGCAGGAAAACCCAATTCATATTCACCATAAAAGCTTATATGTGTCTTATACACCCAAAAAAAAACGTGTCATAGTATCCATCAAGTGCTATGAAATTTCTCTATCTACTCTTTTCTTTCTGTAATACCATCATTCACATGAAAATTATCCAAATGGATGGATAGATGGTGATGTCGAGTCGAAGTGGAACTGGCTTGTCGATGTGCTTTTTGAAATCCCAGTCCCGAGTTCTGGCCCCAAGCTCTCTAGCATCAGGCGGCTGAGACCTTTTTTCCGTCCTCGATGAAGAAGATGGCAGTTTCTGGCACCTGAAATGGAACAGCACATATACATGATTAAGTTCAGAGAGGGAGGTGCAAACATAAGAAAATATTAGTAAGGCATTGTAAGAAAATTCGGTGAACGGTAATGCCGTCTTCTCCAGCAAGGAGGCATGCGTTAAACAATATATGTACAAATAGTTGAACATGAAACACAACAAATATAATCAAATTTCACCATAGCTTTCAGGATTAGCAATGAACAGCATAACCTCACTTTCAAGGCAATAAAGAAAAACCTAACTTGGAATTTGGATATTTTCGGTTGAACTGTATTTCCATGAGAAAAATCAGAGGAAACGCCATTTTTAATTACTACAAACAAAAAAAAAATAAACGAACATGGTTCCATGTTTCTCATATTAAGCATATTTCCTAGCTTGAAATTAAGATAAGATGATCGAAGATATTACAGCAGGCCAGGTCTCCGTAATATATTCCACAATATCATATGATATATCCCCTTGAACATCAATTTGCTCCTTCTCGGTCGGGCCCTAAAGGAAACCAATCATTGTAAAGTTTGTAAGAAACAAAGGAATTAATAATGGAATGCTAAACTAAAAGTGAAGATGATGACTTTTATACACCTTAACAACCGACGCTCCTGTGGCAAATTTCTTCCCAAGCTTCTTCGAAGCATCACTAAGCTTAATTCCTGAAAAACAACTCATTGAAAATTAACTTGTTTTGAAAAAAAAGAAACTAATAAATAGATGAAAAGGATAAAATGCGAAAATTAATCTCACCAAATAGATCCAATCCTTTCACAATGGTGATACATTTACGCCTGTTACGTACAACCTTTTCAATGACAACTTCTTGTTTCTCCTTTTATACAACACTCCCCCCAACCCCAAAAAAAAGGGAACAATTAGGACGATGTACATATGTTATTCTAACATCCTAATAAACAATCTCATAGGTAAAGGTCCACAAGCAATAATTTCGAATAAGAATTACTAAAATACTTTTTAACATGAAATAAACATCACAAAGAAAAGCAAAGATCAGGAAAACTGGTTCCATGAAATATCGGAACATTCAACCCTGGTCCTTGCAGATTACTTAAGCTACTTAAGAAAATGGTTATTTAAACATCAGGAATCAAACACTTCAAAACACCACATAAATGTTTCATGCATAAGTATATATATATATATATATATATATATATATATATATATATATATATATATGCCATTGTAAGGAGAGGGGAGGGGTTGTCCAAGACTTAAACCCCGGACCTAGTGTCAGCCACTACACCTATGACTTAGTTGACAATACCATGTGAACATAACACTGGAGAAGAAGAAAAAATAAAAGAGCCATACTTTCTTCTTTACTTTTCCACCGGGGAGACGTTTTACTTCTTCTTGCTTAGACGACAATGCGTTCCCTGAAAATCGAAAACATTGAATCAATGAATGAAAATGCTTCTTCGAAGGAAAAAAGATGAATAATTTTGTTTTGTTAAAGATATTATTTGTGATAAAATATTCTCCATATGAATGAAGGTCATTTAAACCTGGTTGTGCTGAAGAGGCCGCCCCATCAGAAGACGAGGAAATACCAGCTGATTGGAGTTGTTCAGAAGCCTTCTCAGCCTCCTTTTCATTAGCCTCTGAAACACCAAAAACCACACCAAATAGAAATCATTAAATAACTATAAGAATTTCACGTTAGAAAACAAAAAACAAAGTAAAAGGGGTGCTAACATCAGAGTTATACAAATGATGTTAAGAGAATATATATATATATATATACACGCACGCGCGCACACACACATATATAATAGCAAATCATTAATTCATATCAGAAAACTATCTCCAAAGAAACCAAATTCAAAATCCAAAAATAAAACCAAAAAACCCACACAAAAAGATCGTCTTCTTCATATATTTTTTTCATCGGTAAACAAACAGAGAGGCATGGGATTTAAAAAAAAGCATGAAAACAAATTAATAATTTTATATAGAAAAAAAGGTTAAAAAACCTTTAAGGAGAAGTGGGTAAAGCTCAGGAGCGTTCTTGATCAACCAAGGCTTACACTTTTCGAACTCGGGACCGAATTCACAGTACTCTGCTGGAAGAGAGCATATGGGACAATATAATACTTTCACCGGTTGAGGTTTCTCTGCCATATTTAATAGATGTAAGAATCAAAACCCAGATTTCATAAAGCAAAAATGCAGAAATACGTTCCGTATTTGCCGGTTACAGTGCGATGCAACCGCGATTATGCAATGATGTAAAACTGAATTGTAAAGAAGAATCCGATTCTCTCTTTCTTGTTAGGAAACAGGCCTAATTAACTGGGCTAACTCGGGCTAGGAAATGAGTGATTCTGGATCGAGTTATGGCTTGATTATTCGACTTGGTTTAGGTCCCTTTTCCGATCATAAATCTCTTTTTAATTTTTTTTAAAGGAATCAAAAGTGGAATAACAGTAAAAAGAGCCCTCAACATTTAACCATTTTTTCAATCGTGCCGTTAATTTTTTTTGGCAACATGATCCATAGTGTTTTAATTTTATTTAAAGAAGTCCTTTTTTATACAATCAACTGAGTGTCAATTTTTTCGTGGAAGTGGAATGATATTATTGTGTCATATAATTACTGACATTTAATATTGTTCACATGTGACGAGTTCCAAACGATTGTAACAATTGCCGTAGATTGTTAATTAGTTTATGGGCTGTCCTATAAGCTAAAATAATTATTCCGCTTGAATTATTGGATGAGTTTTACCTCAAATTTCACGTTATAATTTTTATTTATTTTATTTAAAAAGTTATGAAAGTATAAAAATAAAAATACTAATATAATATATGTATTATTGTTTAAAGTATAAATATTTTTTTTTTAAATTTTAACTGAGTTTGTATTCAAATTGATTCATGATAATAAATTCAATCAAATTTTATTTGATAAAAATACTTATATAATGTGTTTTTTTAATATGTTTTCTCTCTCTACAAGTTTGTATTTAATTTACAATCATCAAATATAAATCGTGAATGAGTTGTATATCTTTTTTATTGATAGTGATGTTTATTTATATTTACCATTTTTTAGTTATTTAATTGAATTTTTAACTTCTTTTATAATCATCAAATATACATCTTAATATATATTTCTATAAAAATAAATTTATCTATAAAAATTAAGACTTCTATAGATATATATATTTTTATCATCGTAAATTTTATGAAACTTTAAAATTTGCATGTTGCTTGAAAAAATGATAATAGGTTAACCTCTAACTAAATCGTTAATAACAGTTAATTATCGACGGTTAATCATTTCTTAATGATTAGATTACAATAAGATAAAATTAATAACTGTCATAACGATTTACTGATCCTTTATGTTAAATGACACGGTTAACCAACTAATACCAATAACACCTCTAATGCAATGATTTTATTTATTTTTAATAAATTTATATATTTTATATTTGATAAATATTAGATTAATAAGTGTACATTTAAAATATACCCCATGTGTTATGCAATTAGCCCTTTTGATTTTCTTTTTCTTTTTCTTTTTCCATTGTTCTATAAATTGATAGAATACTCATTAGATTGAGTTTTATTTAGTATTGATCAATATTTTATAGTTCCCAATCAATAAATTATTTTACTTAGTATTTATCAATATTTATAACTATTAGACCAATACATAAATGTATACAAAATAATTTGTTTTATTTAATATTTAGTATTTTATGTGTTTTTATAAAATCCAATACTTTATAACTATTAAATCAATACAAGTACGTTCCAAATTGTTCCATGTGCTATGCAATTAGCTCTCTTTTCCTTTTTTTCATGGATATATAAATGGTGGGTGTAGGCACTAATTTCGTCGACATATTTTTTTTCCTTTATATGTACATACATATTTATATATATATACATATTTTGAAACTACGTATATAATATATAGTTTTTAATAGTTTTTAAAACTATATAATATAGTTTAAAAAAAACATTTTAGAAAATATATGTAGTATATAATTTTTTAAAATCATTTTGAAAACTTATATATATATATATAGTTTTTGAAAACATTTTTGAAAACATATATATTATAGTTTTGAAAATATTTTAAAAACATTTATATATTTATATATTATATGTTATATGTTTTTGAAAACATGTTGAAAACATTTGTATATTTTTGAAAACTTATATAATATTTTTGAAAACATGTTGAAAACATTTGTATATTATATAGTTTAAAAAATCATTTTGAAAATTTATATATTATATGTTATATGTTTTTGAAGATATTTATGTATATATATATTATCTATTATTATTTATTTTAATTTATTTTAATTTATTTTATTTTAATTTATTTTTTTGGTCTTTTCCAGGTCCAAGTTCAGGGTCCATATTTTTAGTCCAACACAGTCACAGTTCCAGCCCACAAGACAGGCTTGATCCAGCCTGTTGGAGTTTGGGGTTTGGAAACCCTAAAACATGTTCAGTCACCGCGCCTCACGTGAGTCCAAGGGTCATGGGCGAAACGGCCAGCCGTTATCCCGGGACTGACCCATCCCGGGATGGCCGATCAACCACGAACAGAGCACTCCACAATATCCGAGATTCACAACGGCCGGTGGGGGTTATAAAAACCCACGGCCAACCATCACAGGGGGGGAACCCATATCAGCCAACAAATCAAGTCACAAAAATACCAAACAAAATCGACATAACACAGAACCAGTGGAAAACCACACTGCCAGAAAACCAAGCATCACAAAAACACATCATCATCGAGAAGCACAGAACCAAAAACGTAACAAACCGCAGTGATTGAACCACAATAAACAATGACAGGGCCATCAACACAAGAACAACAACGAGCATAACAAGGAGCCATAACACAAAAGAAGCAAAAACCGTTTGAGACCCAACCCACATGCAAATATAACACGAAAAATAAAAAATAGTGCGCGTCGGAACCGAGAGGAGAACGGTCGCCGAAGAACGAAAGGTCACCATCGGAAAAGCAGTAAACGTCGAACCTTTACACTCAGATCTACGCCGTTTTAGAAGGCTTTGTGGGATTTTGGCTACGGTTTTGGGTTTAGGACGGTGAGGGGATCGTTTTGTGCAGTTTAGATTTTTTTCGACCGCCGCGAGTGGCGGCCGAAATGGCGAGCAGCGACGGTGGCCCGGTGGCCGATTTCTCACCGGTGGAGCTGTCTCTAGAGAGAGGGGAGAGAGATATCATCAGAAGAGAGAGAGTGGAGATTTGAAGAATGAGGAAGAATGAGTGATTTGGGGAGTGTTGTGGGGTTTATATATAGAGAGAGCAAAACTACGTTGTTTTTGCATCTTCATACCCGTGTTTTCAAGCCAAAATGGTGTAATGTCAGGTTTAGTCCTCCCCATCTTGTAACCTCACACGCGTGTCCCACATTTTTGGGAATAACTATGATTTTGGTCCCCGGTATGTTTATACATTTCATTTTGCCCCTGAAATTCGTTCTTTCTTCGATTCACATTGAAATTGACCCTCAAATTTGATTTTAGTTCAATTTAGTCCTTTTTATTATTTCTATATATGTTTATTTGTTTTTTATTTTTTAGCATTATTATTAATTTATCTTATTATTATTATTATTATTTTATTTCATCGGTTTATTTTTATTTTTTCTCTCTCTATTTTTTTATCTTTTTTTATTTAATGATTATTTTTCTTTTTTATTATTTCTACATTTTTCTTTGATCTATTTAACATTTATTATTCCTTGACTAACATTTCCGATCCCTTTTTTAGAGAAATTCACAATCAATCCAAGGTAAGTAATTTGAATCGAATTTTTAAATTTAAATTTAAATTTAAATTTTTAATTTCGCAATTAAAGACAACCGAAAAATTAATCGGTACCAAAAGGGTGGTTCAATGGTGCTAATCCTTCATTGACCGTAACTGACTCCCTGAACCCGACATATTTCTGGAAAAACGCATATCAGGTAAGATCGGTGGCGACTCCAATTCATTTAATCCAAGTAGAAGCCCAATTCCGGGGCCCAACCGAAAGACGGTTCCGACAGTGGGGAATAAACGCATATATGTTTAAAATATGCTTATGAGCAATTAGTCATTTGATTTTCTTTCTTTCTTTATTTATTTGTAAATGGGTTGAGAATACAAATTGTGTATAAAAAATTATATCATTTCATTATATAAAAAAATTAAAATTTCAAAAATCTAAAATCATCAAATTAAAAATTATCAATTTAAATTTAAAATATGATGACTACCTTTGAGACGTGTGAAGTTTAAAAAAAAAAACTCAACCGTATGAATGAATGTGTGATGATAAAAATCATTAAACTGAGGAGTCTTGAGGCTTGCTTTTGTAACTGCATGCAGTGGATGTTGTGTATTTTCGTCGCTCATTACATAATGTGAAATTTGAGCGTGAAAGAAATTTGATCGTGAAAGAATTTTGAGCAAGTTTCACATGTACTATGATCGACTGATTAAGATCAATAGTATAATATTTTAAAATAAATATTTCAATCAATCTATCATTATCGTCTTTATTCTGAACTGAAAATTAAAAATTTAATTTTAAAATGGTCATCTCGAGGAGTTTGTGATGTTGGCGCATCTCCGCCGCTTGTTGCATAACAAGAAGTTTGTGGGTCAAAGAATTGTGGCGAGGTTTCACACGTATTACAGGGGACTAGAGAGGCGTAATGTCATTTGTATCAAATCAAATGCTGCGATGGACGAAGTCATTGCTATATGGAATCATGGATGGCTGGGATCCATTAAGATCTCCACTACTGTCAATTTTTGTTCATTTGGATGAACAATTTGTGTATATTGAACATTATATGTCCCTATTGTTAGTCCTCCAATTCTAATGATCCCTCTAATTCCCCTTCTCCATTTACGGAGTCCACACGTCTCTTGGTTTTGCAGATGCTCATTCTAATGATCCCTGCAAGTTCAACTCCTACTTTGATGCCTTGTAATATGTACGCTCCAAATTCTGTATTTTATGGGGAGTTTTTAAAAGTATCTGAAGAAACTAACCCTTTCAGAAGGTTTTCTATTTTCAAGCTACTTCACATCTGTTGATTTCAGGGTTGACAAATAAAGTATCTGAAGAAACGTTTTATATTATTAAATGACATACATTGCCTAATTTTATGTGTAAAAATACTTGATTTGATATTAAGTTCGAGCTTAAATTCAAACATCCTTAATTGAGTGCTTGAGTACTTGGATTTGAATTAAAATGGGTAAGGGGTTCAAGCTCAAATAATTTGATTACATCTCGAGTCGAATTCGAACTTATATTTTGATATTTGGTTAAGTGAAGTATCAAACTCTCGATATGAGATCAAGTCCGAGCTTGCCACTATTCAGACTATGCAATTACAACATTATTTATAATAAATAGATCTAACATATTACTCTTTTTTCCTAATTTAAAACTTCGTTTATATGTTAGATGGTACTTCTCAGCCGATTCTCTGTGGAGATTTTATATTGTCGGATGTCCCCCGCTAGAATGTTCCTTTGATTCAGCAAGTTTTCGTTGATGATGATGCTCAAGCAATTTTACAGTGTCCTATCTCTGCAGTTCATTCTGATGCGCTTTTATGAAGCGGTCATTCATCTGGTACCCATTCCGTCCGTTCTGGCTATAAATGGGTGGTTCGTCAGCAATTGACAAACGTTCAAGTTTCCAGGTTATGGCTTTCCCTTTCCCTTTACCCACGCTCCCTCAGGACCGTATGTTTGGCTGGAGGGCTGCTCGTGAGACACTTCCTGTTAGTTGTCGTCTTGCTTATATTGGTGCTACCGGGGTACACTGCTGCTCAAGCAAATCAAAATCTCTGTGAAAAATATATCTATCCTAATTTGTATGCTTAAGGGTTAAAAAAAACTCTCCAACTATTTTGAAAAAAATCAATTATGTTTTCCACTCAATTGAATCCTTTGACTTGAATTTTTTTTCCATCAATTGAGTCCATATATTTTCTTTAAAATATCCCTTCCAATAACAAAAAAGAGTTGATATTTAAAAAAAAAAAAATCTTAATTAATTATTTTGGATTGATTATTAATATCATAAAAGTAGGTGACCAAAGTATATCGAATTCGAGTATAAAGATCAACAGCCAAAACTTTTAATACTAAATCTTAAGTTTAAGCATAATGGAGAGACTATAGCAACAATTTTTCCATTTAGTTATGAAAGGTAAACACCATGCATAAGCCAACCAGTAGTACTTGATCCCTACCATTTCTTTGTTTCTTTTTAGTTTGAAATCTTCATCCTTGTATAATTGCATTGAATTTGATTGTATTTAGAGTGGAGTTGGATCGAATGTTAAAAGAAAATTAGATTCAAAACATTATTTATACAATATTGTTGGACTCAACAGACATTGTTGGTGGATCATTTCTTTTACAAACACCGAAAGCCGTGAAAACACATACATTGAAGAAAAATTTCAAGAAAATTGTTGATGAATTTACTCAAAATGTCCATTTCCATATCTTAATCCGGAGATCAACTCTACACTTGGCTCCGGCGACATTCGCCACCGCCGGCGACTTACCTTTTGGAACAGCCCCTTTAATTCCATCACACGTAACCCTAATCCCAACTTTCTTGCTCTTCAAGCCGAACATTTTAGCTATCACTTTAGTATCCATCTCCACTTTCAGCAACACCCCATTGCCCTTCTTCAGCTCCGGCCTCAGGTCATTCACCGCCTCTGCATCCAAACCCATCGACGCCACCACGGAAACCCCTCTGAAAGTCGACTCGTCTTTGCTGTCACTGACAAACGCCGGCAATGTTCCATTCCCTATCAAAACATCACTGTTGCTTGTCACGCACGAAACAACAAAGGGTCATAGTAGAAAGATAGATGGGAGTTTGGATTTTTGGAAGAAAGGTCAACTTGAAAAGGGTTGAAAGATGGGAGGAGGAGCCGTCGGCGGCGGTCTTGAGTTTCAGGCGGCGGATACGGAGGGAATCGAGGGTGAATGAAGGGCGATGAGGGCGGTAAAAGACGTAAAGGACAGTGCCAGTAATGGCTACTAAAAGGGCGAGTACAAGGATTATGAGGATGATCCAAAAACAGCAGCAGCAACAATAGTTCCGACGTGGACGGTACTGGCGCCGTCTGTTATGAGGCTGTGGACGGTACGGTAGGCGAGCCGTGGGGTTAATGAGGTCGGATTTGGTGGCTCCACCGTTGGCTCTGGTTGTTGTGGCAGCGGGTGGAGTAGCGGTGGGTTTGGAGGAAGGGAATACTTTGTCTGCCATTGGAAAGTTCTTTTGGGGAAGAAAATGGAGAAAGCTGAGATTTTGTAATCAGTGAAAGAGTGAATTTGAGGGGAAGAATTGAACTTTTGAAGTGAAACGAGTGGTACCTTCCACCTTTGGATGCTACCACCTCACCATATTTGATTTTTTAATATTATTTTGTGGAAATTTTTTGCTAAAATGTAATCTTGATCCCTTTATAATATTTAATTTAAAATACAATCTTTATATATATTTTTAATACAAATAAGGCCGAAGCTAAGATTTAGCGTAGATAGAAGAGATTCAATCACTTGAATAATTCAAAATCATTCAAAAGTTTGGCGTTCTAAAGCTTTTATCTTCTCCAACAGTCGTTCGAGACCAATTTTGAGGTATATTTTTTATCATTTCGAAATAATATTTCTCTAAATACCCTCAAAATAATAATTATCAAAACCAAAATCTGTTAGAAAATAATAAAAATGTAACTTAAATACCCCTAATATAATTGATTTTGGTAGTTGAAAAATAGGTAACCATGATTATCATGTCTATGTAGGGTCATTTTAAGTTGATAACCCATCTGCCAAGTTTCCATTCACTTTCTGCTTTCCTTTTTTCCTACCAAATTCCAACCAATAGCTACAATGTCATCCATCCTACATGTTGTGTGATACGATATGCGTCGATACTGATCATGACATAAATGAGGAAGCCGAAACATATTCCGAAGTTGGTAATCGGTGTAAGTTAATATGGATCATGACGTAAAGCCGGTTCTCCGAGATTATCCCTCCAACTTCAAGGCCTCATTAAACATACCGGTGATTAATACGGTGAATCTGATCTAATTATGAAGAGAAACCGGAAAACAAGAATGAAAATGGCGAAAAACCGACCAATATTCCTATTGACAAACATAATCTGCTACATGAAGGTCACTAGCACGTCCATTAAGTCGTATAGTTAACTCCGAAAGCTGTTAACATTGTCACCGGTGAGTGTAATTCATGTCGAATTGAAAGGCAAGTACGGTGAAATCATGAAAAATGGGCAAAAAGGAGACGCAATGCGAGCAAACATGGTATGGCAAACCACAATGTGCGATAACTCAGTCAAGAGACAAGAAAGCAATCGTGTGCATATCTAGAATGGTGTCATGGTTAACGGATTCTACTTCCTTCTTCTTGGCGGTTCCGGAGCAATGCAGAAAGCATGGGAGAAGAAATCTCACAAAGTCCTTTATCGAGCGATGTGACTAGCAACTGCTAAATGTTAATCCAGAAAATGCAATCCATATTAAGAACGAATTTACAAGGACATCTCGACCTCAATCCTAACATTGCAGTTTAAAAGAAAAAGATGTCTTAACTGTGTAGAAGTGGGAAGACACAAAACAACCTACTTGAATCACTCGACGGTAAAAAAGTTAGGATGTGCAATGGCAAGAATACAGAACACTCGGATATTATAAAACACTTCTGAATGCCTTAACATGCATTTCAGTCATTACATTTGGATTAACAATTATATGAAATTCTAAAATACATTTAATAATGTCCGTTCTGAACTTTCAAATTCGAATACCTCGGAATCTGCAGCTCCTATGCATGAGCATAACTGTAATCAGAACAGGGGCAATTGCGAGCATAGGTGCTCCAATGAGTGTCCACTGATAATAATTATTTGCACGGTATATTTTCATGTCAGCTAGAGCTTCCATTTTGGCCAGGATGCAAAACGCCTGCACCGGACAGGTTTCAGACTCTTAAGTAAACCGACATTCTTGAAGAGTCATGAAACATTTATATGAATTGCTGCTTTCAAAACCGAGAGAGAGACATCCAAAGTACGGTAATATGTATTAAATCCACATGATCATTAGTTTAAAGTGAGATTTTCATGTGAACCTCAGGATGCCACAAAAAATTGAACAAGAGAGAGTGCGAGTGAAAGAGGAAGATAAATGGCCTACCGTCCAAAGCCAGTATCTCGAGTGGGTATATTTAGGTGGGAACAAAAATGTCATGATCGGAATAGCTATACACGGAATTAACTGGAATGTCACGCACAACCGAAGATCATTAAATGTTCTGTAAACAATAATCAATCATATTCAGCCAAAACCAATTAAAATTTGAATGACAAGCTTCAATTGATTGATTGAACAAATAAATAGAACATTTCAAGAGACAAACCTTGCATACGTTGTGCTTAGAACAGCAAAAACTAACAGTGAAAATAGGCAACTTAATCCGATTCTTTGCCAAGTCTTTCAAGTATAAAACTAGAGAAAAGTGAGGAATAAGCGATCATCATCTGCATTGGCAATGAAATTATAAAAACTTGGCGTTGGTAATGAAAGCAAAACTCAAAGAACAAAACAAAATGTCAAAGTTCATCATTCCAGCATAGCAAATACACATATCAAGAAAAAAGTTTAATGTTGGAAACAACAATCAAGAACCGAAAGTTCCTAAGATGGCCACTAGCAATCCCTCCATAGAAAAGCACCCAACCCCCAAACTCTCCTCGCAATCTGCCACAATCCCGGAGTCGAAAAAACATCAGTTAGTCACCAAATAATCACATAAATTCAACCTTTAAACTCAAAAGACATGGAAGAAAACAAGTGTTAAAACAATTAACCTTATGTTGAAAAAGCGTGCCTCCTCCCAGGCAAAGAACAAACCCCAGAACACCCACAATCAGAAATGGGAAATTGGTGACCACATTCAACGTGTTGGAACTCCTATATGACAAAAAGAAAGAACAATTAAATCAAATCAAATCAAACCAACAATTTATGTACAATTTTCTCCAACTTCACTTCCCATGATTCTACTAAACATAAATGAAAAACACAATGATTTACTACGAAGTTGCGCATGTCGGCATAGAGATGCTTCTTGTAAGAAAGTGGGATCTTTGGGGTAACCAACATGATGAAAAGCCAACAGAGCAATGCAACTCCCCATTGGAGTTCTTCCTCTTGGAACCTGTTGATTCACCATCCAAACATGATTAATTCTGTGTTTTTTACTTTGTAAGAAAAAAAGTGAACTTTTCCCTATCTGATTCCTCTGTTTTCCACTGTCTTATGTATGGTTCTCTTTGTTCTTGTGATCTGGTCTCCCAACATGGGCTATTGGCCTCTTTCCAGTTTACATGGACTCGAAATATAACACCCAAAATTATATTTTGGGTCAAGGTCATTGAACTATATAAAAATATTTTTTTTGTCAATAATCTTCTAAATAATTATTAAATTTATTAAATTATTACAGGTATTCCTTTTTGTAATTTTAAAATATAAAAAAATATAAGATCTCATGAAATATATTTTATTACAGTTTCATAATTTTATTATTGTTGGTTAGTCCATGTTTAAATAAATCGTTGATGACATAGTGAGATTTTCGTTTCTCTGTCATTTTCCTATAAAATTATAAGGGAAAATCGCCTCAGTGACAAAAAATGCCTTATAATATACGATTTTAACCAACTTTTTTCGGATTTGCCAAAATGACCAACAAAATCGCAATGTGATCGCTAATTCGCAACGCGATCTCCATTATCGTAAATTCGCGTTGCGATGGTCTACAGTGTCGTTGCAATTTTCCCAATTCGCAATGCGAATAAGTAAATCGCAACGCGAATTGGGAAAATCGCAATGCGATACTGACTATCGCAATGCGATACTGACTATCGCAATGCGATAATACAAAATCGCAACGAGATACTGACTTTCGCAACGCGATTCTGACTTTCGCAACGCGATTTACATAGCGCTATTCTTATTAACGCGTATTTTTTTTTCAAATTCCAAACACGAATTTTTTTCTAATAAATCGGAAACTGAAACCGTCCACAGTAACGCAAACTCAAACCTCAAACCCAAAATCACAACACTCAGTCCCATCTCCATCTCTCACTCTCTACGGCGAAATCTGTCCCCATCTCCGAAGATTTCCGTCCCCATCGCCGGCGAAATCCCTCACAACCATTCACAGTCAAAAATCCCTCACAATCATTTATAAATGGAAAATCAACCTCCGAGGGTTAGTTTTTTTTTTTGAAATTTTTGCATTATTTTAGGTTTTTCATATTGAGATTGATGATAAGTTTACTGGTAATTTCAATAATAGATTAACCATTTTACTTAGATTTCTTATTAAATTCATTCGATTGCTGCCAATACTGCTAAACTGTTTAGCCGTGAAGTTAGTATTTGTCTTTGTTTGTCTTTTGGTTGAAGTAATGCAGAAGAAGAATAGTTTCGAGAATGAAAATCGCAACGCGGAAATAACTATCGCAACGAGAAAATCGCAACGCGAAATAAAAAACGCAACGCGAAACCAAAATCGCATTGCGATTTTCATTTCGCGTTGCGATTCTCTCGTTACGATTTTCATTTCGCGTTGCGATAGTCATTTCGCGTTGCGATTCTCATTATCTCGTTGCGATTTTCATTTCAACCTAAAGACAAAGCAGTGTTGCAAATTTTAGTTTCAAGAATAAACTACTATTTATGTTTATTGTTTTGGTATATCTTGACAGTGTAGTTTTTGGTATATCTAACTTGGTATGTTTATTGTTTTTGTAGAAATTTTTTTCGGCTTCATTGACATTAAGGAATAAAGTTAGCCTAGCCACTACAATTGCTTCGAAGCTTTCACCTGCACAATGAAAATTGTTTGAGGAAACCTGCTTCGGGCCTTGGCTGAGAGTACAGCATCCGGGTGGAGATGCTAATTTGACCCATTTGTGGCTTCAGACCATGACTAGAGATCTACCCGACAGTATACAACGTGGTGAGGAAGAGATATGGTTTCATTTTCCACCGGCGTATACTTGTTTTGGGCGGAAGGAGTTATGCTTAATCACTGGTCTACGATTCGGACACGATGAAGTAGGCCGGTACACTCTTCATATCACCCGCCCATCATGGTTATCCAGGGTTTTTCCTGATGAGTCAATAGAGAAGCCGAACTTACACGTCGACGACATGAAGAAAT